AAATAAAAATTCAGTTCCCCTTTTGATCACTGAAAGACACGTGCCTCACGAGGCGTCTTTGATCGATAGGAGCTAGCAATACCTGTGAAGGTAGCTGCTCCTGAGCACTCTGTGCTGTGATTCTTTTGAATCGTTTGGTTCCTCAGGAACGGGGACCGTAAGCTTTCTGAGCTTGTTGACTCTCTGAGTCGGGTTCGTAGAGTCAAAGTTGCTCATAAGAGCGTTAAGTCTCCCTTTGACTTAAGGAGCTGTGTAGCTCCGCTACAGCAAGGGCAATGCATTTACGATCGAATTACCATGCAAGATGTGAACACATCCTACGTTTTACGTGGCCGACTCAGGCCATACTGTCAGTACGAGCCTTCTTCTTCCGATAAAAATAGTCCCCACGTTCAAGAACATCCATCAAGTTCTTGCGTTCGCTCTCCAGACGGTCCGTCTGGTCGCGTAAATAAGAGACCTCAGAACGCAACTGGGAGATTTCTCCGCGAGCTGTCGCCAGCTCGCCAAAGAAGGAGCGGACGTCGCGCTAGACCTGCAGCTGTGCGACCGCATACTCAGCGCGTTCTTTCGCACGATTCGCCTCGTTCTCTTTGCGGTACTTCCGCAAAGAGTCAGTCAGAGCGTAACGCCTGTCCCTCTCGTGCTCTAAATCATCGCGCAATTCTACGATTGCGCGATCCATCTCGTGAGGATCGAGATGTTGAGCAGAACGATCTGGAGAAGGTCTTTTCTCCTCCGTCACATCCTTAGGAGGACTCACACGGTGGTCAACGCTTTCACGTGGACGTATATTGAACCACCGTGACGATTCAGGATCAAGGACGAGCTACCTCGTCCAGTGGCGGGGGTATCCACCCTCTTGGAACAGCTGGGAGCCCCGCTCCCAGCTATTAATGGATGTGCCCGATCTCGTTCACCAATATGATGAGACTCATCCGATTGTTCCGAGGGCCCTATCGGTAAACACGCGCTTTTGGCACTTGTAGACGGATTGCAAGCTTGCAATCGCGTCCCGCATCTCATCCGAGATGTGTGCCCTTACCCAGGGCGAACTTAGGGAATACACGTCCCTATGTGCACGTTGCGAGTTGTCAGCACAACTCGCACAAGGATCTCCCTAAGTGAGGAAAGGAATGTCTGCCTCACTTGACAAACGATGCAGCCTGTACCTTGCACCGGTTGGCGTTCACTTTCCAAACTTAATTCGTACCGCTTCAAGTTTTTGAAGCCATCCTTCTCGTCCAAAATTCTTAACATTTTGGACGAACGCGTTCCACGCCGCCAAAAGCGAGGCCTTGTCACGCTTTTGGTTGCCATTGTACCATCGATGCTTCAAGAAAGCATCGAGATAAAAGCATTCGTCAGCGCGAAAATTACTCGCGCTGGGATCCAAGCCGTGAAGCTCACTCGCATCGAATAAGGGTATTCGATGGTGTTGACTTGTCTCTTGAGACAAGCTATTGATGAGCTGTTCAGGCGAACGCCACGGATTCAGCTCATCACGCTCTACAGTGATACCCATGTCGGTACCACGGATGTCAGTATGAAGACGGCTCGCACCATCGTCAAATCGCTCGTGCGAAGGTGCACGAGTTGATCGTGGTGATGAGTAGCCCATCTCATCACCAAATTTATCATCACTGCCGAACAGACCGTGAAGCATGTCGCGAGTCCGTGCGTTAGGCGCGTCTCTTGATGGACGAGGCACCGCAGGTGAACGCGATGCCTCTAAAGGTTTTTTCGAGTCAGACACATCTGACTCGCCAGAGTAGCTGACCCCTAACTCGGGGTCACTGTGTGCATGAGGTGCGATACCACATGCTCCTGCAGCAACACCTGCTGCAGGCTAAGAACGAGCAGCAGAATAATTGTCGTCTGCCGCAGAAGCGGGCGCAGCAACAGGCTGTGTCGTCTTTGGGTCACCTCGCATAGACATGTTAACTATGCGAGGCAAGGTCAGGAGTGAATGAGTCTGACAAAATAAGTGGTTTCCTGTACCACTGGTGTCCAACAGGTAGCCACCAAGTTTTCGATAGTCACACGGTACCTATCATATGAGGGTGGTGTGACGTAACGGGGTAGCCCGTTACATGAGATTGTCATTAAAACAATCCGACAATAAAGAATATTACGTTGCATATTCTTTTATATAATATCACAAGACATGGTGATATTGTTGGGATGACCGAAGGGTCTACTCATTGGTTGATATAGTTATGATATCAACCCACCAATCGCTGCTAGACGCGCGCAATGGGTGGTGAGTAGACGTCATCATACATATAGTTATGTTGGTATAATTAAGTCAGGACAACAGAGATTCAAGGAGTTATAGGACTTAATTATATTAATACAGTTTTACTTTTACCAAGAGACTAGTCTGACTACCTAGTCTCCTTTCCTTCCTCTGTGTTTCCTTAAAACACCTAGCAGGGCACTGTCGACCACTGTCGTCAGTGGAAGTATACTCCGTACAGGTCATCCAGTACGTAGTCAACAGTGCCCCATTACAGCAAGGGTTATGAACTGCTGAATCCTAGGCAGACTTCTGGAGTATTTGGTTGCAAGATATCGGATAGGCGAAAGCCACAACTAAGCCTGAAGGGGCGTATGCGAAGAGTTTTGTCAAAGCCTAATATAGCCAAGCTCGCCGACTTACATCGGCGACATTGTTGTGTTGGTGTGTTGAAGGCCACTTATCACAATTTTGACAACCTATCATACCACATTCTTCATTAGATCTACATGAATCATATCTATGCAATGCTTGGCTGCAAGCCAGCTGTTTTCTTTTCGCATCGTACTGATGCTGCACGCTGATTGGATCAAGCGGCTCGGACGTACGGAAGAAGAATGGACTGCCCGGTCCGAGCCCAGATCACGAGGACCACACTACGTGCCAAGCGTGCCATGACAACTTTCCCCACCTCGGCCTACTAGCCCGGTGATATAGATGATAAAAGATCGAACGTTTCTTATGTGCTATCAGCTCTTGTCGACATACCCTTCTCGACGTTTCCAGTACACCGCAGAAACCTTTTGATACGTGAGACATGTATCCGGCAATAGATATAAACACCCCTCCTCGATGCTCAGCTTGCATCATTGTGTTTGCGCGCATAAGTTACGTGCATGCATCTATTTCCGACTTTGTTAAATGCTGAGAGATTTTGCTCGGTCTTTGCTAAGTAATACTTTCATCTCCGTCTAATTAGGGATAGCTTTCTCGTGTGCTCCAAGCTAAGACGGTCCATGTTGCTACACCGCAAGACTCAATTGGTTCTGCTGTACCGCACGACAAGAGCCTTTGGTCGACGAATTCGTTTGCTTTAGCTGGGTTCTTTATCGTGTGTCTACAACAAGATGGCGGATCGCGTGGCCAATACCGCCATGAACGTTTGACTTCCATTCAAGTAAATTCACCGTCGAATTGAAGTGGTGCCAAAGTGCGGCGTTCCTCGATAACGACATAACTCAGTGGTTGTAGGCAAGCTCTGGAATTCCATCACGTGCTTTACAGCGTACGCCTTTGAGCAAGCACGAGAAAGCGGTTAAAAACTTGTATATCGTGTGTAGCAACGTTGTGGGAAGAAGTAAATGAAATACCATCCACATCAATGTGCGTATAAGTAGGATGAATGGACAATCAATCGAATCACAAGAAAAGAAGCGCCCGCCCACGTGAGACGCGGGTTCTACATGGCGATCTCAAGATCGCGTGTGGCGTCGGTCAATGACGTCACTTGATGACATCACCTCCTGACGACACCTCGACACGTCCTGCGTGCATCACACTGAGCACAATGTCGACCGTGGATGCACTTGCGCATACCAGATGCACTTAGGTAGGTATGCTATTGCGTTACCTCACCCAATCGACAGGTCGAAGTGCTTATCGCATTTATGAACTTTTCCCACTTTTGCTATCGTGAAACAATAGTGGCGTGGGCCGGGGTTTATCCCATTGCACTGATGAAGACATCGCTAGACGAGCACTACGGCATAAGGATGCGGATTGACCATAAAAGGCCGCGCCATCTCGTCAACACCTCGCGCAGCGGACATCGGCTGTCCAATGTCTCGCACCTTTTTACCTACCACGTAGATGTCTGCACGATTTACTGGATGGTAAACAGGTTACAGCGGGTCGTACGCGTACCTCACTTTCTCACTCAAATTGGCCCAACGATACCCCTCTGGTGCTGTTTTTTGCAGCTGCGACATCTTGGTGTATAATATGTGGTAAAGGGGACTTGAGTTACGGATTCTCTCTTCCTCGCTCATTCATTAGCTCGTTCGATCGTACCGGTACTCGTCCGGCAAAAAGCCGTCTTACCGGCCATCTTCCCAACACGCGGGTCGTGTCTTCGACCCGACTTACCTACCAACAGAACTAGCTAAACATTGCTTTCGGCCAGTCATTATTAGCCAAATGAGCACCAGCCAACATTACAATAGGGTTTAGCCATGCCATCACCACGATGTGTCGACGTCGTTGCCAGCATCACACGCTTGATCAGCTCGATAAAGAACTGCGATTTTGTAATGTGAGCTTGTCCGATCTGCGATAATGTTTGAAGAGCGGCAACGCAAAGAGAGAGGATAACATGATCGGAAAAAAGAAGGCAGCGTGACAACTTTCTAAGCTTGACGCTGGAGATGTTGATGCAAGTTTGTTCGTGCAAAGTTAGTTTCAGCGAGCCTTATGTGAGTCGTATGGGCTTTGTAGACGTAAGTTGAATTCAACCAGTGCGTTGAGTGAGTTGCAACTGTCACGAAAGCTCAGTGCACAATTCGTGACAAAGGCCTATTGTCAACTGACTTCTGCAACATGTACCGCAACTTGTGAAAGTGTGAGCCAGATACAAAAAATGAGCACGTGGGAGCTTGCAGACTGCAGATAATGGCACGTCATTAGCCACGACGTGATCGACACTTGCATTGTTGTTTTTGTTGCGAAGTATATGGCTCACATGTCTAACTTACTAGCACTACCCTCATACGAATCCCCGACAGCTGTTCTGTCGGGTCTCAAGCGGGAATCGTCGATGAAGCCATCGCACGAGATGCTCAACAGCAACCTCCTTGTGAGTGTCCTCGAACACGAAGTGGAACCCGTCGTCAATGAGCTTAAACTCCTTGTCCTTAGTGCCCAGCGAAGCGAAGAAGCGAATGGCAGCCTGTTGATCAGACACGCCATCGTTTGAGCCTGCAATGAAAAGCACGGGAATCGAGCAGAAGGCGCTGCCCGGCTTCAATACGCGCTTGTCCTTCTGAAGCCGCTTGATCGCGTGCAACGCCTCCAAGCCACTTTGCGCAGTCATCTTGTCCGTATACGTCAGAGGGTCCTTCTTGAACGCTGCTAAAAACGTCGGGTCTCGGCAGAAAAAGTCGTACTTCACAGCAGGCACAATGCGTGCTTTCGGGAGAAGCCACGCCAGTGGTAGCAGCGACTCGACATACAACAACGGGCTCCATGTCACGCCAACTGTTGGCGCCGCCCAAACGCTCGCGTTGAACTTGTGTCGACCACTGAGCACTGTATGGATGCCAACCAATGAACCGAGTGAGGAGCCAACGATTATCAGTGGTGGTTCTGGCAGTGCAATGAGGTTCGTCCCGTCGACTTGGGAGTGGCGTGAGTAGTGGTGTTTCCGCCAATATCGAAGAGCGTCAGAGTAGATGAATCGCTTGGCATAGCTGATGAAGGTATTGGTGTCATCCACGAGATGCTGGAAGTTGCTGATATGTGCACGCGTTTTGTGCTTGTCAAAGTCACTAGCGCCGTGGTTCACCATGTCGTACGAGATGACGCCAAACCCTTTTGAGCACAGTTCTTTGTAAAGCTGGACGTGACGTCGACAGTGGCTGCTGCTGCCGTGTAAGTAGAGCACGACGCCACGGAGAGGCGCTTTTTCTGGTGGAAAGAGCGAAAAGTAAAAGAGGGATTGGCCCCGTCGGTTGTCGAACTTGCCCTCGTAATGGCGAAAGCGAAGTGGAATGTCCCTCTGCGTGTACGAGAGCATGGGGCATGACGTCGAAGTCGCGGATGACGGGATCGTCGACTCGAACGAAGAGCTGAGCTCGGTGGCGTCCAGTACCTCGTCACCGACGATCCAAATGCTCTGCTTGCGTTTCGAGTTGTTGTCGGCAAGTCTTTCCCCGTCTGCCGCTTTTGCCGAGTGAAAGAACCGAATTCTGTCGGACATTCGACGATGCGAGGAGCTCGAGCATTGCAGCACACTCGTGACTCGATTCGAATGGAGGCGACAGTTTGGCATTGTTTTCGAAAATGAAAGAGCTCGCCGTCGTTCGAGAAGCAGAGCTTGCCACGCACGTCTAGAGGTTCGGTCCCGAGGCATTATATGTCACACCAACAGATGCGGTCTTCCGCTTGATATTCGGGAGCAGCCAGAGGCACTGAAGCTGCTGCTCGTTTTTTCGCGTTTCCAGGTGGCGTGACAGCCAATCGAGTATCGAAGGAAACGCGAATGCGATCGCTCGACGTGCAAACATCGCAATGCAAGTCACACTGTGACAACGCTGTACCCTCCGTCGGCGCGAACGTGTGATTCCGATTCTGCTTGGATTCGGACTGAAACGGCTACGGTCGATTGATGCAGATGTGAGCAAAGGGTCCCGAGCGGCAGACCCTATCGCTTGTACACATACGGAACCAGCAATGAGACTTGGAAGACAACGGGTAGCGTCCGGCCATTGACGTTAGAGCTGAACCAGGCAGACATTTCGTCCACCAAGAGCTGAGTGAACAGCTCCCGTACTGCGAAATGGTCAGCTGTCCTCTTCGCACGTATGCTTTCCTCCATCTGGGAGAGGACCTCCACACGACCGACTGACTTTGCAGGACAAATGGCGCGCACACGCTTTCACAACGTTCAGAAGCCACAGCTGACAGGTTGTTTCTACGTAATCAGCTGCTGTCGTCGATGCATCCGCATACTTCCCACTTATGCCCTACCGTCTCCATGAACGCCTCAAATCTGTTACTGTAGCACACATTCATCATCACCCATAGAAGATGAGATGCTACGAGTTCGGGCACTTTTGTGTGCTGCGATACTCGCAAGACCGATCGACGGCGTTGTAATAGCGTATTCGTACTGAGTTGGCCCATTTCGCACCGAGGCTTACCGCTTGTTAGCGTATCCAAGTGAGCGAAAAGGTCTGAAAATGCACCAGACCGTTTCAATCATCGCCACAGCGCCTGCACCTCACCAAATTGAATAAAACGCTGGTCGTCCAACATGACGTCCGTATCTCTCGTGCTGCCCACGGCCCGGAGCAGCTCTTTGTTCGTGGACTGGGAAGAGCTGCGCGCCATTGCCACTCGCGTCCAACAAGCGCTGGACGCGTCCGAGAGCACGACACGCCATACTGAATACGAGTACGTTCGCTCGTCGATTTCTTGTGGCTCCGAATGTGTGGTGGATATCTGATACTAACACCTTTGCTAATACTTCTGCTGTGTATTTTCTTCCGCACGCAGAAGTGTCTTTGCAATGTGGGAAGCCCAATTGCATGACGCTCCGAGCAGACGTGAGGACAATGCAGATCGAGAAGGTGCCAACGAGCAGCTCACGTGGTACATTAGTGCACACGAATACTGGAACGACGAGACCAATTGCCCCACAACCGACGACGGGGTACTTGGAGGGTTCGCCCACGTTTCGGGCGTCGATGTTCGTGAATCGAAGCGGTTTCTCAAACACGTTCGGGACACAGTGAGGCCCGAGTGGGTCTGCCACGCGGCCGCAGATTGTGGCGCTGGCATTGGTCGCGTCAGTAAACTATTGCTGACGCCGATGTTTGATCACGTGGATCTTGTGGAGCAGAGTGCAAGGCTGCTACGGGCAGTACCGCAATATTTTGGACCGAACGAGACGTTGCGTGCTCGAGTGCGAGACTTGTATTGCATGGGGCTGCAAGACTTTGAGCCAGCACGTGCGAGCTACGACCTCATTTGGATGCAGTGGGTGCTCGTGCATCTCACGGACTTAGACCTCGTTCGATACCTAAAGCGGTGCAAAGAAGCTCTCACGTCGAGTGGCTTTATCGTGGTCAAAGAGAACATCTTTCAGACGGCCGAGCCTTACGACCTCGATCGACAAGATAGCAGCATCACCCGCTCAGCTGTTTATTACAAGAGTTTATTCCAGCAAGCTGGACTCACGCTGCTTGCCGAGCGTCGACAGCGTCACTTTCCGGAAGGACTCTACCCAGTACAAATGTACGCGCTTGCTTAGTTTCGGCTTTACCTACGCCTTCAGCTCTGCGACCACCTTCTCGAGCTGCTTCCGATCCGAAACGTACACGATATTGTGACTCGCTCTTGATCTCGCTTTGCGCGCCTCGCCCTTGCTCGGTGCCGCCGCACCCACTCTTGCCGATGGCACAAGCGCTAGCTTTGTCGCTTTGTCACCGTCATGCTTCTTGGCTACAGACACTAACTTGGACACGAACGGCTGAAGCTCCTGTGCCTGCTCCAGCGTGCTGAGGCACCCCACCACATACAACCCAAGCCGTGCGCGAGAAAAAGCGGTTGTAGCGCGACGAACATCACGCAGGTGGCCCACACTGGTTCCGCTACGCACCGTGGATAGCAACACGAAGTCATTCTGTTGACCTTGAAAGCGATCAACGGTAGACACTTGACAGGTCTTGGCGGCTTCAGGGACTTGGGCGCGCAGCAACCGCTGCAAAAGCTCGTTTTGTGCGTTGTAGGTCGAGAGGATGGCTACCTGGTCAGCGCGGTAGCCGACGCGCAGCATGTATTGAAACAGCGCGACGATAAAGCGAGCTTCTTCTTCGTTTTCGTACGCGAACGGTTTCGACTGGCGCTCTTTTGCTGTTCCCGAGAGATCCACAAATTGTGCCACATGCGAAAACCCGACGTTACCTGTCTGGTACTGGACCTCTGACTTCACACGAGGCAGATCTCCCAACGTTGTGCAGGGTTCTCCTCCGTCAGCGGATGCTTCGTCGTATCGCCACCGATAGATGTCAGCCAACTCACTCCGGCTGCGACCTTGGCGGTCAAGGACAATGTGAGGAACACCGAGACGCAGCAGTCGAGTAAACAGGCTCTGGTCGAAGTGCGCGTAGCTTTTCAGCGCAAGCGACTTTACCACAGGAGGTAACTGCTTTGCATCGCCCATGAGTACCACACGCTGAAGGCCTGGACACTCATGGCTTTCATTTGACGTTGCTCCAGCTTTGTTGGAGCACGTGAGCAAGAGAGGCACAATGCTGTCCAATTCGCTTACCTGAGCAGCTTCCTCCATGACGAGACTTCCAAATCGCAGTCCAAGATCAGCGATCTTGCTGTAATTTAATGCCGCGTGCGTACAAGTCATGGCAACGATGCGCGCATGGTGTATCAAATACATGTCACCCCTCTGGCGCGGAGTCTGCAGCAGCTCAAAAGGCTGAAGACGCCGCAACTCGGCAAAATACGACTCAATGTCCGCAGCAAACTGACACAAAGCCTCGATTGTGCTGGGGGGCTTGCCCTTCCGCATAGCAAAAAACGCTAAAAATGCCACCACCTTGTCATCCTTCGAGCCCAAGTCACTTGCCTTGCGAGCTGCGTCAAGAAACGCCGTCATGTGAAACTGATAGAAAACAAGAGCGTTTGCGCAAGAATACGACGCCGAGCCGCCGGCAAGACCAGCGTATTGCACGGGATCATGCTCGATAAGCCATTGCGCCATCTGTTCCACCTCCGCCAGCAAGGCTATCCGTCGCTCCAACAGAAACGCCACGCGCCCGTTGCGACTAAAATCCGCATAAAAAGCTCCTCTGCCTTCCCCGTCTGGTAAGCCGTTTGCACTTGCAAGTTGCCGTTGTCCCATTCGCACGATTTCAGCTTCATGGACAATGTTGTGTGCCAGGATCTTCGAGAAAAAGTCGTTGAGTGCTTGGTTCGAATGAGCGACGATCAGCACCTTCTCACGTGGCGGGGTCAAGCGGTACAGGTTCAACACGAGCTGCACAGCTACGTCGGTCTTGCCTGTACCTGGTGGACCCACGACTAGAGTCATGCCCTCACATAATCCTGTACGCACGGCAGCTACTTGTGCTTTGGAAAAGCGAACTGACGTATGAGCGCCTGGATGCTCGGCAGAACGCTTGTTCTTCTTGCGAGACGCCCGGATGAAAGTTGAGCCATCGCGAACATCCTCGACGTACGTGAATGGGGCAACCGCGTCCTTAGCACTAAGCTCTTGCGTGTCATCATCGGCAAGTACAAGCTTCTCGGCACCACCAGCTTCGAGTGCATGCTCGCCGTCTTGCAGAAACTCGCCCATTGACACTGTCACCTGCTTCTCTGCCCTCGCCTTGTAGATCGACTTATACAGCGCAGCAGCCGGATCACCGTATCCCAAGAACAGGTCATGCAACCATGCTGGCAGCAATTCTTCCTTGTCAGCATCGCGCCACGCACCGGAGAGTGTGTCCAGCACAGCCTTGAAATTGTTGTCGCGAGGTTGACGTCGCACCAACAAATTCACTTGTTCGTACGCCTCAAGCTGGCCAGCTTCTAAATCGTTCTTGTACTGCACACCATCCAAGGCTAGTTTGAACGTTCGCTTGCTGCCTTTACCGATAGGGTTTTCGTCATTAATAGCATTACCAGCAACATCTGTGACCCTCATGACTTCTGCTGCACGCACATATTGCACACCGTAGTTCTCGGGAAACGATCCCTTGTCTCTTGCCTGTTCCTGGAAGCCCATTATCTCGCATCCTTCATCAGCTGTAGCTCTCACAGTTACTAGAAAAACCACTTCCTTCGTCTGGTAACAATCAAAGTACTTGCGATCGTGGCGGCTGGACAGATCTACCTCTAGCTCTGCAATAACGGATGCTGGAGCAACTTGGCCAAGTGATGGCTTGCTGACTTTCACGATCTGAAGCGCACTTGCTAGCGGTACACCGAAACGAGAGAAACCACGAAAGGTCGTATCGTTTGCACGAGATGAACGCAAAGCACGCACGGCGTCAAGCTGGCGAATAGTTGTCTCAAGATCCTCGCGAATATCTTGTGCTGCTTCTAGTTGAAGCAGCTCATAATTGCGCTGCAAATAGTCCGCTACATTCAGAAATTGCAGACCCAATTTGCGCACAGGAAGCACCGGGAACAGATTACTTTTATCCGCGTTGTAGACGCCGTCCAACTCCCTTGTCTTGTCCACTGTTTCCGTAGGATCTTCATCACCTGATGCATTGGCGCTTTGCGCAGCCAGATCCTTTCGATCCAGCATTTGGTTCCAAATGTCCAACTCGGTGGGATAAACGGGCATATCGGAAGAAAGCGCGTCCTGGGCGGTGCTGCTGCCAACCGAGTATTCTTCCTTGAAGAAATCAATCAACTCCGTATCAGAGACAGTGCTGGCTTCTGTCTGATCAGCTAGTACACCAACAGCGATAGCCAGCGACGAGAGCTGCGAGCGATCAGCACTGACTATGGACGTTAGCATCTCGGTGAATCCAGCAGCATTTGCAATGTGACTGCATGGCGCGATGGCCAGCTCTTCCACTCTCGAGTTTCTAAATAACTGGAATGCGCGCTGTTGCATCGCTTGAATGTGGCGATCCTGCTGTTCACGATATTCCCGTGACGAAAGCGACTCGCCTGTGTGCGCGTCAACCGGAAATCTCATGCATGCGTCTAATAGAGCCAGCTGCTTCTTGATGGCTTGTCTGTCGTTGGCACTTTGCCACTGCAGCGAATGTTGAATCAGCACACTGTTGCGAAGCGCGGTGTGCACGTGACGACGCCTCAGCACTGTCAGCAGGAAGCGACGCGTTGGTAGCTGACTCAAAAGGTCAATCAGCAAGGCCAAGAACAACGCAACAAAGCGCAGTCGCGAAGCTATCTCGTGCTTGGGCATGTCTTCATCGATTGGCGCTTTTAGCACCAGTAAAAAAGCATCAAGTCGGTGCACCAACGCAGCTTGATCCGGACGTAGCGCCGCTGTCGGTTCTTTCACTTTGCGGCGCTTGTTTGCTCTCGTTGTAGACGCTTTCTCTTCTTTCGTCGATACCAGAACAGTGTCGGACATGATACGATCCCAGTGTCGCTCGAGCTTCGGATACATCTGAAACTCGAGCGCTCGTTGACCCGGCGATAGTGCCGTCCAGAGAGGCAGAGATGTCATCTGCAGCACGGACGAAGCAACCTGCGGCACATCCAGACTTTGGAAGCACGTGATCAGAAACTGTGTCAGTGCCGTTTGCTCCTTTAGCGTCCACTTGGCGTCGCCTTCCATCACAGCATCTGCCTCCTCAACTACTGTCCACAATGTCGTCACGAATATCTTCCAGTCAGCGTCTTTTTTGCTTAGGAATGACCACACTCCAGCAGAGCTATTTGCACCAGACGTTTTGCCTTCTCTCCGAGCTTTATAGCCCACAATGAGCAGCACCGACACCAGCCACGCCTTCTGGACGTGGCTGTGACAGTCACGAACGGTCGAGATGACGTCTACGAGCGGCCATAGAGCGCGTTCCAGATAGCACAGAGCGTCTAGCTCTCTCAAGAACTTGAGCGTCTGTTCATCGTTGCTTTCTTCGCTCAAATGCGCGACATAAAGCGCCGCGACTTTATCGAGGGACTAAAACCAGACAGACACATGGAAACGACATGTTCAGTAGCGGTAGCCGGTGACACGTGGTACAAATGACCCATCTTTGCCTACCTCTTTCGACGGCGAGTCAGACAGGATTGCTTCGGCAAGGTCACGCGCCGTCGGTGGAGCACTAGCGGCCTCAGGAAGAGCCAGTCTCGAGGATCGTCGAGGCATCTTGATCGCTTGATTTTAAGCCGTACACTTCTGCTAAGTTCGCCTGTACGCCACTATGTGCGCCGTACTTATCGATCGCCGCCGAACTTAGTGAGCGCGTGCTCATCAGATTACCCAAATATTACACAGTCTGAACATACGGCGGAACCAGAAAATTGTGTCTGGCATCAAGCGCCGACAAGCGGCGTCTCTTGCACCGCGACACTGCTCCTCCGGTTCTCCACGGCGCTCTGCCCCCGTGCATTCACTCGACTCTCCAGCTCTTCTGCTCTTTCCCACGACCAGTTGCGTCGATCGACGGGCACTATTCACTTCACACTTAAACTTCTCCAGCGACACCTTTGCATCTTCCTCGCTCCCTCTCTGCCTCGTTGTCATGCGGCCTGCAGTCAAACGAGAGCGCGCGCTCACGGCGTCCCTTCCACCACGTGCATCGACTCGTCAAGTCACTGCCGTAGCCAGTCGAGACCTCCAGATCACTGGCGTGACGCGTCGGGATACGAGTTGGCAGTACCACATTGAAGTGCTTGACGTGCGCGCGTGCAGCAGCTTTCGGAGCGGCAGTGCAACGGCTTCTGCGCACGCTTTGAAACCAGAGCGTTGCAGCGATGTCGATCCAGACGCTGGTACGGACCGAGAGTCGGGTCAAGGGTACGCAGAGCTGCCGCCGGTGGTGCGCTACACTGTCATGCGACGGTACACGGACTTTCGTCGGCTGTACAATTACTTGGTCGAGACGCGTGGCTCGGCCGTGCGCGACGTGCTGCCCAAGTTGCCCGATGGAGGATGGATCTCCTATCTCCGCGGAGACGACCCGAGACTGCTGCACTATCGACGCAAGCGACTGGAGCGCTTTTTGCGAGCCGTCGACGCATGTCCAGAGCTCCAGTGGAGCGCAGCCTTCCGCAAGTTCCTTTGTCCAGACCTCGACGACCTCTCCCCAAGTGCCACGAATTCGCCATTACCAGTGCTGGTTGCAAGCACGTTGTCGACAAGTGCGACGTCGAGTGGCTACAGCACCAATGATATGGACGCACGGCCTCCGCCTCTCTCGGCCCCATCGTCGCTTCCACCCCGCCATGGACTTGTTCAACACTCTGACGCCAGTACCGCACCGCCCGTGAGCGGATCGGGCGGCTATGTGTCATTGTCGCAGCTCCGGTCTCCAGAGATTCGCTTTCGGAAGAAAGTCATTCCGGGAGGCGTTTATCCACGCGGAGACTTTAAGCGTCGACGATTACACCTCTATAGTCACGACGCAGACGACATGGACGCCGACGTGCGCAAACTTTCGGCCAAGAAACAACTTGCCATGGCGCTTAGTGGAGCGCTTGGCTTCAAACGCTTCGTCGTAGGGGTCGGCAGTGGTGTTCTTGGGACTTTTGGCCGCATGGGCAGCGATCGCTCGGACTCGGTCGATACCGCAGAGTATCAAGATGATAGTGACACAGACGAAGAAAGGGAATCGAGTGGAAGCGTGCGTGACCGGGGCATGAACTGGATCAAGATGCTATCTAGCGGGGGCAATTAAGTTGCTTAGCACTGATCGGGACGTTTTCGCAAGCGAAAGTATGCTTGCCACTCGGGTACCGTGAAGAGCGGAAGAGTAGACCTCCATCGCACGTCGGCCACCAAATGGGGATAGCGTTCACCCCACATGAGTCTATCAAGTTCGTTCTGTGCAATGAGTAGCACGAACGGTATTGTTGCTGTCTCAACGGAAAACAGCAAAGCAGTAAAGTACATGCACGTTAGGAAAAAGTATAGTCTGAGCACTTCATGTGGTCTACAATCGCATCGACTTAGTAAAACGTATCATTCTCGGACCAACCCATGCTGTGCGAACTGCCTGTGAGTGGTTTGGCACGCAACAGCGGTTTGAGCTCACAACGTCGACGCTCGAGATGCGGCAGGAAGATGCGTGCCTTTTGGCCCGACGCCAGTTTGATGTAGATTGCATCGTCGGTAATGGACGAAATGGTGCCCGTGCAGTCCTCATGTACGAGCGGCATTGCAACATGCACTTCGTCACCGTCTTCGAAGATGTAGTTGCCGCAAAACAGTCGTCGTCGCTCAAGCTTGAAGGGCTCTGCACAACCATACACACAAGACGTGAGACCGGGTCACACAATTGCAGAACAGTGTTATCGTGGTCGTGCATGTTCTCTTACGCTTGCCCTCGTTCGGCAAACACGCCACCATCGATTGTGCCGTCTTCTTCCAATCCCCCACGACTGTCGCAATGTCGGAACTGACATCGTCGAACGGCGAACGAACTACCTCTACCGCGAGCAGCTGCGGCGCATCTTCGAAATCTGCAGTCGTTGTCGGGTTCATCTTGCGTCGCTTAGCAACCACTGCTTCTTTTTTCGTACAAGGTAGTGGTGGCTCAACCACTTCGCCTTCCTCGTGCTCGGACCCTTTCTCCGTTTTGTATTTCGACACAACCTGATCCTGAACAACACTGACGGGCGGTTCCGTGCATGTCGTACTCCCAGCCCGTTTTGGCCGAGACGTTAAGCGAGTATCTACACCCGCTGCTTCGAGCTCAGACAGCGCCTTGATCTCCCTCTGTAGCTTCATCAAGACAGCATCCACCTTGGTCAGCAGTCCGTCTTTGAGTACTTTGCGGTCGTTCTGCCACAGATGGTGCGCACGCTGCACTTCAAAGTGATAGAGGTCCTGTCCGTTCTTCAGCTGCAGGTGCTTGTGCAGCTCGGCCGTCTGCAGCAGCCGATTGCGCTCCTCTTTGAACGCAGCAACGCGCCGACAGAACTCGGCGAGCGTTCCGTCCTCCACCATCTTTCGCTTCTGCTCCAGCTCGGCGACGTGTCGGTCCAGACGCTCCCGTCGCTGCTCGTCGGTCATTGGCTCGAGAGCCAACGAAGACGTCGACGTCGACGACGTCGCCGACACAATCGACATGGACCGTCCGAGCTTCTTCTCGTCCTCGAGCTCCTCCCTCATCTCCTCCACCTCTTCCCCGCCCTCGTCTTCGTCCTCGAGCTCCATCTCTTCCTCGTCCCCGGACCGCAACGAGCGTCGGTCAATGTCCGAGTTGCACGAGGAACTCCGTCTCGTGTCCTCTTTCATCAGCCGCGGCGCATTACGGCGTCGCTGGCGGCGCATCGACGCGTCGGCGCTGTGGCTGACTGAACTCGCGTCTGTATCGGCGTCTTCCGAAGCGGAATCGGCTGTGGCGTTGCGGGTGTCCCGCGAGCGGCGACTGCGGAGTCGGGTGCTGGTGGTGGCGGTGGTGGCGCTGCCCGCGTCGCTGCTGGGATCGCGTGAGCGGTCGCGGCGCGTGAGACGCTCCATGGCAAGCGACGGACTGTGTGCCCGCCCTGTGCAAGGGGTTGTGCAGGTTCACTAGGCAGGACCCGTTGAAGCTATGGAATAGAGCTCTGTATCGTGCACCGTATGTTCTCGTTAGAGCGATCGAGTGCGCTTTTGGCCTTTTTGTTTGCTGGCAAGCAAAGGGGCGAAAAAGGAGTTGTTGGTTGGGCTTGTGCACTGGCTGCCGTTGGCAAGTGTGGATGGGATTTGTTTGTCGGTTTGGGATCGAAGTGGAGGTACGACGAGTCTGTTGCGTCGAAGGACGGGTTTGTGGTATCTTGAGCGAGACCGACTTGAGGCAAAACGAACGACATGGATCACGTGGATGCTCATTTGTGCAAGAATGTATCGAGAACTACACAGCTTTTACAGCAAACAATGTACGTTGGGAAGCGCAGCGCTCGACTGCTCAGCAGAACCCTCGGTCGCATATAGCGGATTTACAGAATAGCGACTCTGCACGCACTACCTTTTCGATGGGTTTGATTGGCAGACTAAATAGTACCCATTCTTCACACATGGCGCGTTCGGAGCGCATTGATTAACACCGCAGGACATTTGGGGCTCGAACACTGCATAACTATTTGAGCTTAAACTGAAGCAGGACCTACTGAGCCATTAGGTTGGTTCAATTCGATCGTCACCAGGATCCGGTGCCCACTAACGTGTCATTCGAGCTGCCTTTGAGTCGCAAGTGAGCTTCGAGTGATAAACAGAGGCAGCATGGGTCGCCGACGATGGTGAGGCTGCCCAAGGAGAGCTGCCGAGAAATGATCAGAAAATGTAGAGCACCTTTGCTGCATACCACCGATCGACGAATGAGCTGATCGATATACATTGCTCGCAACCTACAGGGAAATGTCGATTCATTCATCCATCTCGTGGTTATGCTTCATGTAAATGTAAAACGGAGGTGTACATATGTACATGACACCCGTGTGCTTTCGCACGACAATCCCGTGCAGCTCAAGCGTGACAACAAACTTCCCGATCTGCCTTGTTATTCGAGTGCTACCAGATTCTACCTCAATAAGATGTTGGTACTTGCCATCTTGTTGATCGCAATCGAGAGAGCTCATACCGAAGCAGAAGTCGCCACTGTTGTTCGTCGTTCCAACGACAACAACCCCTGATTAGCAGTACTACATCTACATCTACATCTACTACTACTAGTACTACCACCACACAACACTACCACAAATGCAGTTAAAGACGTATGGTCGCCATCGAGCGGTCCGTCAATATCCACCAATCACACGACGCCATACTCACCAGTTAACCATTTCCAGCCAACGTCCGCATGCCCGCGCCGCCCCGAGAGCGCCAGAAGCGCCGCGGGCGCCGCAAGTCCAAGACAGAGCGTCTGGCGCGATCCTCTGACGTCGGCGTCTCGTCTGCGAACCTGCTCACGCTCCTCCGGGCCAAGTCGAGTCACGAATGGGACGCCGCGCAGAGCGTCGCGCAGCAAATTGATACGTTGGAAGCGCGGGCGACTGTGGTGCGCGTGCTCTTAGCGGAACAAGAGGCCCCTCGAGCAGCGGCGCACTATGCAAAGCGCCTCAATCTCCGAGACGAAGAGCTGTTGGCTGCGGTCACGTCGCACTCGACGGCGATCTCTCCGCTGCTCATGGCGCAGTTTCTCGTGGAAGTGGAGGAAGACGCACTGAGTACGAGTGAGCGCCTGCAGCGATTTGTATGGCCGTGGGTCCTGCAGTCTATGGCGAGGAGCGAGCAGCACAAGACGGCACTGAAGGCAGCTGTGCATTTGATGCTGCACCCGACGGCGTCGGACGATGCCAAGATGCACGACAAGCGAGAGCGAGGCAGGCGACTGCAGCGCGCACTGGTGACAAAGTGTCTGCAGACTGGAAAAGTGCTGCATCTCGTGCCGGTTCATGCCAAGGCATTTGCCGACCAGATCGATGTCCGGTCTACAGCAGGTGCTGATGGTGAGGAAGAGAACGAGTGTCGGAGCGCTGATCGGGAAAACGAGAAGGAGCTGCGGCTCCGACAACAACTGGCGTGTCGTGTGCAAGACTGTCTTCGTCTGATGTGGCCCGATGCGCGTGTAGAAGTGTTTGGCTCTTCAGTCACTGGCCTCCTGCCGACCACTGGCCAAGCACCTGCTGATGTCGATCTCTGTGCTCTGTTGCCATCTGCACCACAGTTCCGCCAGGAGACCGCGGAGCTGGTCACGGAAGCGAAAGATCATTTGAGTCTGTATCTCTTGCGCGACCTCACGGATGGGACGGACCACAGTGCCTCTGCCGTAACAGGGGCGCGTATCCCCATTGTTCGCTTTCGAGATCCATCAACCGCCTTGCCATGCGATCTTTGCGTCAACAACGTGCCTGCATTGTGGAACACGCGTCTTGTACGATGGCTCTTGTACAGTGATGCTGGTGTCCATTCGCCAGACCGAAGGCGACAGCTTCAGCATGCGCGGCAACTATGTAGATGGCTTCGTAAGTGGCGCCAGACCAAACTGCGTGTGATTGGTAGCGCTGTGAGCTCGTACGGACTCACGTTGCTTGCGTTATACTACCTGCAACGTGCTGGTGTCCTGCCCGTGCTCGATTGCAGCTCACACGTCGTTGAAGATGGCTTGTCATTGCGTACACTGACTGAGGACGAAATCGATAAGCGTCTCGAAGCTGTTGACAAGACCTTCATCGATACTGGAGAACCAGCGAACAAGGTGCGCGATATGTTGGCACTTCGACGAGGCTTTTTCCGCTTCTACACTTGTGATTTTGACTATGAGCACACTGTGGTGAGCCTACGGACAGTTGATGTCATGGCAAAGACCGGCAAGGGCTGGTCTCGTCAAAACGACGTTCGACTCTGTCTCGAAGATCCAGTAGAGACCGAACGCGATCTGGGAATGCTCTGTTCTAGGCGTGCGCTCGGTCGTCTGCGCTGTGCTTTTGCTCATGCGTGCGTTGTACTGAGTAAGAAGGACGACACGAAAGGAATTGCTTCCGTGTTACCGATAGCACAACAGGATGTCGAGGCATATTTACTGACCTCATGGGCATACGAGGAGGAAAACGCATGCGAGGCAGAAGACGCTGAAGGAACGGCAAGCAGCTAGACGCTGGTTCGATAACATGTGGCGTCACGCGAGCTACTCCAGTTACAGACCTATCAGAACAAGCACAAGGAGCGTTGATTATGCGATTGGCAGTGACGCAGGTACACGGTGGCAGTGTCAACAAGACCGCAGACACGATGCAGCTGGCTGCCAATTACAGCACGAAAGCAATGTATGCGGTGCAGAGCGACATATGGGGTCAGACCGTGGATGGTGGTGATGGTGTGCTGGCGTTCAATTCGCGGACTAAAAGGCGACACTGCCTCAGCTTTTGCAGCTCCAGACGACAAGGTGGTGGAAAGCTAGAAGAGAAACATCGTGGAACTGGATGAGCTACATGCGTACCTGCCGATACTGTTCTACCCCCGCTTGCCGATCGTACAAATTGTTGCCGTAGTAGACGCAACCAAGCATGGACGGTCGGCAGCAAGACGTCTGGAACAAGAAGGGCTACGACAATACGAATGGCGCAGTCCTCTTCCTATACCTCGGCCATCTCGCTCAGGCCTGTCCAGCAGTGCTTTCGTGGTATCCGACTGGAGCGCAAGCTTTATTGGCCTTGGTCTTTGGAAGAAGCCCGACATCACCATATCGACAACAAGGCCCCTGAGTATGCCACGATTGCGACACCCGTGCATCACCATGGTTTGCAGAAGAATAGGCCACTGACGAACGTGCTGCGCAGAACGGTACGTGGGAGATGCCTTGAGCCCACACAGATCGAGTGTACATACCACCGTACGTACTGACGGAATGGCTGTGCGTACGCGAGCAAAGTAACGAGATGACAACAGGCCATGACATTCTGGACTGCTGCTTCCCTACGGGTCTTGTCTCATTGCACGTGAACGTATCGGGCTTTGCGCTAGAGTCAATTATCATTGCTGTCACTGCTGTCGTTGCTAAGCGAGTAGACCGAACGCTTCACCGGTGTAACATCCCCACTGCTGCTATCCCCCGCCGTGTGGTCGGAGCTGCCATGGCACTTGCTCGCCACAGTTTGACTGATCATCTCCTTGACTTCGTTTTCTTCGGCGTAGCCGATACAGTCGGTGATATAGTCGACCAGCTCTTGGCAAGTCAGGCCTTCGCGCGAGATGATCTTCAGTGGCGCAACCATGACCTGCTTATCCGGATCAGAAACAAGCGGGTCTTGATCGGCACCAGGAGACACGGAAATCTCGACGCGGAAGCGCTGAGGCTCTTCTAGCGAGTACTGAATGCGCTCGAAGACCCGCACGACGAAATGGGTCATGTAGCAGAGCTCAGGAATGTCTTCGATCCACTTCCGCGATTCTTCACCGATCGGGCTCTTGATCTCACATTCGTCCCGACCAAATCGCAGAACGTTCAATAGCGAGTGCAGGTGCGATTCACTTGTGAAGTACAAACGCGTGCGCACGGAACGGTGTGCCGACTTGACTTTCTTCGCGTACGACGGGTTCAGACGGTGAGTGTTGTGGTCCTTCAGTAAATCGGGTTGCAAGCCACGGGCCAAGTCCAAGTCGGTGTTGATCTTCGACAGCAAAGTTCGGCACATCGCTGACCCGATGAAGATCTTCTCCTCCACGTTGATTCCGTACTCTTGCGGCACGAGAGCGTGCGACAACGCGCTTGAGATCTCCAAAAGCTCCCGTACGTCCGTCAAGTTGAGGTGTGCGTTATGAACTGCGTCATACCGGATGCAATCATGGATGTCCGGTATCTTGGACAGGTCGTACGTATCGCGCTTTTTCACGTAGAAATCGCGGTACAGCTTTGCCCATCGCTCGCGCATCACCTCCAGAGTTTCGCGTCCGCAAGGCTCAGGGTACTTGATATCCTCTAGTGGCAACGACTCTTGCGGTGGCCGCATTCTGCGCAACCCGACACTGCTGTTCGCAGCATCACTTGTGATGTTCCTGCCTTCACTGTGTTTCTTCTGAGGGGCGTACGAGTGCACATGGTGGCACTTCGGTTGGCTCAACTCATTGACGCTGGCAGATCGACCGATCATAGGAGTAGGCAGTCGGCCAGCAGTAGATCTCGTCGTCTGATCCAGATGTATCTCTGTGCGATACTGCGCCTTCTCTTGAATCATGCGCGTGAGTTGCTCCTTCAGCAAGTGCAGCAATTTGTGCATGATGCCCATCTTTTTTATAGGCTGATCGACTTTCGCAAGTGCTAGCGCCACAGAGCGAATGAGGCGCGAGTTCGAGTCGATCAGCTGGCTGCAATGGTCTTCGCGGTGAATGATATTGTGCAAACGCTGCTTCACTCGCATGATGATCTCTTGTGCGGAAGATCCCGACTGGTCCAGCATCGAGTCTGCATCCTTGGACTTCAACACAAGTCCGACCAAGATCGGAATAATGTCTCCCTCAAGCTCCAGCAGTCCCTTTGCAAACGAAGCTGCGGTCTTCTGCACACGCCCTTCATCGCTCGTGTAAATCTTGAGGTCATGCCGGTAAGTGGAATGCAGACGGTTCAGGCCCCCAGCACCGCCCGGGTACATCATCCGCCGAAACTTCTGACCAAGATGTTCTGCCTGTTCTTCACCAGTGTGAGTCAGATCTCCTCCCCACTTGATAATCAGCAGCAATTTGCTAACACGGTGTATCGTTTGCTGTTCTCCGTTTTCGGCTATACTTTCGACAGGCACGTCGACAAAACTTTTTGGTTTCAGCTGCACCTTGCGATTGATACCGACAAGTTGCCAGCGCTGCAGCACGTCTCGCAGCGTTCGATACCCCTTGACACGGTCCGTGGCGTCTTCGCCAAATGTGACCTCGCGTTGCTCTAAGAAATCCATGAATGCCGGATCGTGCGTTTCGTACTTGTGCAGCAGATCTTTGCTCACCTGAAGTAGACGCTCGAGATTCGCCACGGCTTTGATCTTGAGATCCATCTTCTTTTTCTTCTTCGTATCGCTTTCATCGTTGTTTTCCTGCTGAGATCCACGCAGACAGTCCTCGTAAAACTGGAGGAAGGCTGGATGGCAGACGTTCATTTTCATTTTCTGCTTCGGCGTACGATCGCCGTGACGAATGACAGCCAGCACACAGCGCAACTCTTCCTCTTGGTACAATGTATCTTCGTCTCCATCCGTGATGCTATCAGCTTCCGACAGCTCTGAATCAGCAATAGAAGTCGATGGTCCACGAAGCATTGCATGTCTATGTGCCGTTGGTGGCTCCGACAGCTCTGCACTCGGCGGAGGAGCATTGGGGGCAAAGCGAAAAGTGACGGAACCAAACGCAGAACTGTCCGTGCCGAAATCCTCGCCAGCCGTTGCACCAGCTAGCGCCTGGGCAAGGTACTGCGTCAACAAGATCCCGCAATCGTCATAGTACTTTTCCGAGTTCTTGACAAAGCTCCAGCCGTTCACGTCGCAGACGTACGACGCGTCACGCACGCGCAGGATATCAAAGCCACAGATCGTCTGTCTGAAAGCTCGGCACACTCGATAGGCAATCTGCTTCTCCTCCGTAGACAGCATGACTGGATACCTCACTTCTTTCCCGTCCACGTCCCTCACGACTCGTCCATCCAGTACAGGCGATTTCCGAGCTTCTGCATGAGCATAATGAGGTCCGACGGTATAGACTTTGACGTCCGTTCCTTGAGTGGAGAGGAATTCCTCGTAGATGTACGACCCTCCACCTGCTCGCACGGTATTGACATGTGGATCGTACTCGCTCGATCGGTTCCCGATTTTCCGAAACAGCCGCTTACAGCCCCCGCCGGCACTCATGGGGTAATAGATGTGAATGTGGTGGTCTTCGCCGTCCACGGGCTTCTCTACAAACGGTTTGTTGATTCGGACACCGTTCACTTCGATAAAGTCGTCTCCTTCGACGACCTCTGGGGGCTCACTCTGCCCTCCATACCCATCTCGGTTCAAGAACACGTGACGCGGAGTGGGTACGTCGTGCTCCAAGAGCACGCGGTAGACCTCCCGCCGGTCCCTCAAGAGGTACTGCGGGTTCAAGTCGTTCACGACGACCGGGCGACGGAGGGCCACGTACGCCTGAGCCTTCTCGAGGGGAAATCCTTTGGAGAAGAACGCAATGAGCGCGTCGCAACGCGGCCACGCGGCCACCGGTTGGTTCAAAATGGTGTCGTCGCCAAAGAAGTCGACGCGAAAGAGCGCGGGCGGCAGGCGGCTGAGGATCTCGAGCATCGGATCGGAGCGCGCCTTGCGCTCCATGACGCAGATCCCGAGTGTGTACTTGGCGTCGACTGCGTCGGACGGCGTCATGGGGTGGGCCGAAGCGAGAGGCGAAGAGGAAGACGAAGGAGGAGGAGGAGGAGGAGGGAGATACGCCATTGTCCACGTGGGTGGCGGGGAGTGAGATGGCTACAGTTTGGACGACCAGAGCTTTGTTGTAGTTGGTCGACAGATGGGTTGACGATCGGACGATTTGACGACGACGACGACGACGAGGGAACAGCTGCTGCTGCCGAGTTAAAGACCAGATCGATCGGTGCGGCAAACAGATGGAATTGCGGACAGGCCTTATGTTGCCCGGAGCCGTTGGGTGGGAAGCGGTGGGCTTGAGTCGTGGATAGGAGCCGAATGGCGTCGAGAAGCTTCTGAGCTTGACGCACTTGTTGACATGCACGACCATAAGGTTGTAGAGGGTTTCATGTGGAACAGAAGATGCATTCATGCTGCGTGTGTTGCGGTGCCATGAAGACTCCGACACTTTTTTTATTCCGACAAATATTCCGACAACTAAGTAATGTCTTTTTGATACGTAGGGTTTACAATTCGGGAAGCTATAAAATTGGACGCGAGATGCCGATTCACTGTATTTGGTGTTGGCCTGTGATGACACTCACAACAGGCCGTGCGTCAAGGACAAGTGAGGCTTAAGCCTCGCTGAACGGTGCTGCAGAAAGAGACGTGATACTGTACAAGGAACAGCTCTTCCTGCAGTACCTTTTAGCGGCTGGGACAACGAGGTGCGACTAAAGCGCAAGTTAAACGGTCTGATGCTTTATTTCTTACGTACAAGACTAACTATCAGGCATGTACGTGTGGGGCAATTCATTCCGTAGGTCAATCACACCATGCGTTACTATCGTTGCGACTGCTAATTGATACTGAGAGACGAACACAACCCAGGCGACTGTGCAGTACGTGAATGAATCCATAGTCGAAGTGTTGGCAGGTGCAGTCTGACGTTATTGTTGCTGTTCTGTTCTCTATATCATGTGCAGTCCGGTGTTATTTTGCTATGTTTTTCTATAGCTTGTGCAGTCTGACGTTATTCTTGCCGACGTTGATGTTGCTGTTGCTGTTGATGCTGTTATCGATGTTGCTGTTGATGCTGTTGCTATTGATGCTGATGCTGGTGCAGTTGTTGTTGTTGCTGTTGATGCTGTTGATGCTGATGATGTTATCGCTGTTGTTGCTATAGATACTGTTGACTCTGTTGACCCTGGCGTTGCTATTGACGCTGATGCTGTTGATGCTGTTGTTGCTGTTGATGCTGTTGATGATGTTGTTGCTGTTGATGCTGTCGATGCTGTTATTTTTGTTGCTGTAGATACCGTTGACGCTGATACTGGTGGCAATATTGCCTTGCGTATCTTCCGCTCTTGTGCGATTGGTGACTATACATGAAGAGATGGAAGGACTCTAGTTTAAGAAGACAAAGTATCATTAATAAAGTTTTGCCCATCATCGTTTGCTTATAGAAGCGCACTAACTAGATAAAATGATGACGTTGCCATTTGATGCACTTAACATAGACAGCAGCTTGGTCATCCTTACCAGGTAGATAAGTTGTAATGGAAGGTACTTTCGATGTCTTTTACTATGTGCAATATGTCTTGTGATTTAATGGAGATGTGGTCCGAAATAGCTCTAGCTGCAAGCAACGCCTTGTACGCCACAATTTTCTGTGTAAAGCTTTCTCATTGAGATTGCTACACGTGCTCAACGTTGTTGGCGCTAACGGACAGATCTTTCTTGCGGACAAGCGACATTTCAGAGGCCCGAATGAAGGCTTGGCACATTAGGCACACAAGTGTAGCTTCCTGGTAGTCCTTTGAAATCGTAGTAGTCATGTCGATGTGTTGCATAAGTAATCGAATCTCATTTTTTGCATATGATGCAGCTTTCTTCATGGATCCTCTCACTCTTGTCATGCATGGCACTCTAGATTGCGCGCCATCTCGAGTAGTTTGTCGTACACGATTGATCTTTGTAGAGCAAATTATTGTAGCAGCCACTTCGTAACTTGACTGTACTAGAAGAGCCTATAGATGCATGCTTAATTCTCTATTTGTAGCGGAGCTACACAGCTCCTTAAGTCAGAGGAAGACTTATCGCTCAATGAGCAACTTAAGGTTCAGAGAACCCGACTCAGAGAGTCAACAAGCTCAGAGAGCTAAGGTTTGGTTCAAAGAACCCAACTCAAAGAGTCAACAAGGTCAAAGAGCTTACGGTCCTTGTTCCAGGGGGACCGACCAAACGATTCAAAGAATCAAGCGCACATAGTGCACAAGGAGTAGCTGCCTTAACAAGCGTTGCTACCTCCTTAACGATCGCAAGACGCCTCAAAGAGGCACGTGTCTTTTGGATCAAAATGGGAACTGAATTTTATTTCTTCTTTTAACCTAAAAGAACACCTTAGAACAAAGTAATTAACCTACTCGCTAATGTCCTAAATAAACCTATTAAAAGATCTCGTAATCAATGGTTGACAGACATCAGTCTTCAACAATTGATACTGTGTTCTAATATTACTTTAAAGGGGATCCCATCCCTTGTGCACCACACCTATTGTCGACTACAGTCGCCGTGTAACCCCGTTACACTATTTCTGCCCTTGAGGTAGGCGAGGTAAATGGCAAATTTCTCCATAATTGCGACGAAGCAGGCACCAGACGAGACACTGAGGATGAATGTGTTCATCTATTTGACTGTGACGGACTCCGACGCAAGGAATTTCTTAAAGTTGTTCACTGCCGTCGACATGGCCGACTTGGTGTTGGCTGGCACCAACGACTGAATGCTCATGTTCCTGTGCTATCTAGTTATTGAAGTGTACTAGCGTATGAAAATGTTTAAGTTCAGTTCAATGCAGCTAATAACTTGACCTTTGTATACTGTGCAGACATACTTCAACATAAACCTCAGTGATTATGTTATCGTGAAGATTACTTTGCAGTGGCGTAGGGCTGCAATAGTATAAAATTGAGTTAAACAGGTGATTAGTTACTGATCTGCCATATTTGTCGGAATCTTTTACAATATGCAACATAGAATGCGTTTAACTAGGCATGTGTATGGAGCTCATGCCTATTTTTGGCTTCATTCCGACAAAATAGGTCGGAATGATGTCGGAATGAATTTGCCCTACCCCTAAATCGTCCAATTTGCTGAAACGGCTATATGAAGGATCATGGATTGATCATAATCAAATGGCAATCTCCTATTGGTACACCATCGCATACTAAAGGCAAATGAATTTTCGTTTGTCGGAGTTGTGATCATATTCATCGATACCGTCTGCATTGACCCACGAACCCACTCAGCTATTACGACCTGCTGGCGCGACACACGTTCCAGAAAGATGCTGAAAAGACGGCGTTTGTTGCAAGCCACAGTAGCGCTCACTGATGCGATCAACGTCTTTCTTACAGCTCTGCTACGTATCAGAAAGCGTACTGACAGTTGAAAAGCATCAAGTGCTCAATGTTTGCCGATCAGCCGTACGTACGATGATGCAGTCAGTGCCGCTAGCTGCTTGACGATGACGTACGATCGCCCGTTGACCTGCAAGGGTTCCGTTGACGTGGTCACCCTCTTCACTATGGCGATCGGTGGTACAATCGAAGGTGTGGAAGCTGCGAAGACCGGGCAGTAGTGTCGAGCCGAGTGCCTGATGTCAGCGTGTGTTGATTCGACGTTGCAGTCCACTATCAATGCCGCCGACAGCCGACTTCCACGTCACAACTTCCAGGTCAGGCAGCAAACCGATCGAGCAGATGAACTCGAAGAAAGCACTGCGGGGCTAAGGAGACAGTGCAGTGTATGTAGCACTTGTTGTCGTTCGTCCTGTGCAATCAAGTCAGGTGTTCTGGATCAGCTAATCACACGCACGTGTTCTTCTTCTTGTTCTTCTTCCCGTCAAAGTACACGGCTACCGAACAATCGCTCAGAAACTTGCGAGCTCGTCAAGGCCACAGCAGCTTCCGAGCTGCTTGACAACATAGAGCTGGCTTGTGATGCACTATCGGGTGACCGGTCGACGTTCAGGGCGCATGTAGACCGCACTCGTGTGGGGGCATGAAGCGGTGATAAAACACCGCCAAGCGTGAACAATACGTTGTACCCGAAGAGGCCCGGGCATCGTCCTGACCTGCTTGCTTTCCACACGAGACCCGAACTCGGTATGGCAGGTGAACGATAAACACACCCACTTGCGCTTCTTCCCTGTGCTGAGACTCGTACGGGCGTGTTACGTCAAAAGATCTATTGCTGCTCACAAGCTGTCCTGTTGGCAACAATCGATCTTTCATAGCACGCACGCCATCTGATGCACTGAGCATTGCGCCTAGCGCTTAGAGCCTCCAATTCGCTGTAGCAGTATGCACTCAGACACCCGACAAGGCATCAGTCAGCTCCAACTATCACTGTGTCCCAATCGCCACGACACTGCACTTCATATGTCCGCATCACAGCACTCTATTCAATGTATGCACAATAATCGAGCGAAACGAGTATGCCGTGCTCCTGCTTCGGTCGCTAAACGAGTATGCCGTGCTCCTGCTTCGGTCGCTAAACGAGTATGCCGTGCTCCTGCTTCGGTCGCTAAACGTTGTGCTCGATTCAAGAAGCGTCGACACCCCACCCAATCTCTCTCTCTCTCTCGACGGTGACGCATCGACGTACGCACGACAGCAGTCGCTCGTCTAACACGTCAGCAGGTTCAAGTCCTCTGGAAACGCCGTCACGCTCTCGTCTTCGGGCAGCGCACCCAGCGCGAAATAGCCCGCGTACTTCATGTGGAGCTTCACAATGACGTCGGAGATTTCCGGTCGATTGCGGGCCAGCGCCTCGCTGAGACGGTCATCCTGCGCGCAGGCGACGTCCATCTCGTCGACTGTCTGGCCGCCCACGGCCACGCCGTTCGTCTCGAGCAGATACTGCACGTGCGAGTGGCCCTGCTGCTCGGCCACGTCGAACGCCGTCTCGTCCTGCTCGTTCGGCATGTCGGGGTCCGCGCCAGCCGTCAGCAACAGGTACGTCGCGCGGTAGTTCCCGTTCCGACTGGTAACGTGCAGCGGCGTGTTGCCGGCGGCGTCTTCGACCTGCGGGTCGGCGCCCGCGTCCAGCAGCTGCTCGACCACAGCCGAGTGGCCAAACGTGCACGCCAGCAACAGCGCTGTCGTGGTCGTGTCTCCGACTGCTGCGTCCACTTTTGCCCGTACCGCGAGCAGCGCTGCAACGATCTCTGCGTGTCCGTGTTTCGCTGCAAAGTGCAGCGGCGAGTGCCCACTGCGCGTGACGGCGTTAGCCCGCGCCTTGTGCTTGAGCAGGAGCTGAACCGCTCCGTAGCGCTTGTGTTCGCACGCGGCGTGCAGCGGCGTCGAGCCGTCCAGTGCAGCGGCGTTGACGTCAGCGCCGCGTTCCAGCAGCAGCAGCAGGACGTGGTCAAAGCCGTGGGCCGCCGCCACGTAGAGCGGCGAGTGGCCCGCCGCGTTCTTGTCGGCCACGTCGGCGCCGGCGCTCAGCGCGTCCATGACCTCCGCCACGTCCCCCGTGGCCACGAGCTCTGTGAAGCGCTTGCGCTGGGTGACTGTCTTGATCGCTGCGAGTTTGTGGCCGAGGAAGCACCAGACTTTGGCGCTGCGGTGGCGGTAGCCGTGCAGGAGGTACTGGCGCGCGGCTTTCTTCTTGGTACTCACGACCACGAGGGCGCTGTCCGTGGGGTAGACATAGCCGCTGACGGCCTCGAGCTGCTGCTTGACGGGGCCGTGGAGCGTCATGAGCCGACAGCGACCGATACCTACGGCTACGGATGGCTGTTGATACCTACGACTGCTGAGTGACTGACTGACTGCAGGTGGTGGGGTGGGGTGGGGTGGGGGGTATGTACGCCGTTGAAGATGGGGTCGGGAGAGCTTTGGTAGCCGGTTGGTGGCTGGGGCGGGGCGGGCGCGTCACCGCTCGCTCCGTGCGGCTGCAAGCAGAGGACTCAATGAGCGAGAGAGGAGAGGCGGCGGGCGGATAAGCGAGTGGGCGACAGAGTGGGGGGGGAAGTGGGGGCGTACGGGCGGCGGAAGGAGTACCTGCTCGGGGGAGCGAGGTGGGACTGGTGGGACTGATGGGACTCGAGTGCGAAAGTGGCCGAGTGACGCGGGCGGGTGAGTGAGTGAGTGAGTGAGCTGCGTTGCTACTGGCTGCGGAACGACGGCGCCCATCCCTTGTGCACGCCCGCGCTCGTCGCCACTGGCAAACAGCGTCGACAAATGTTTACGGGGGGGGTGAGAGTTCAGTGCGGTTCGCCCGCGCCAGTTGGCCCACACACACAGACACACACAGAGACACACACAGAGACATAGAGGCGCTCGACAAAGAGAGAGGGGGGGACGGCGTTGAGGTGGAGAAGGGCGGGGGGGGGGGGGGAGAAAGGGACCGAGTGCGGGTGACCGGTTTTGCTGCTGTCCATGGACGAAACACATGGCAGCAACGTGAATGTCGCTAAACGTGGAGGAAGTGGGAACTGGGAAGGGGGGAGTGGGGAGTGGGGAGCGGGAACTGGGAAGGGGTCTGTTGACGCAGTGGCGGCGGTGGGCTCAGGTCGCGTGTCAGACTGACTGACGGTGGCCACTCGAGTGTCGCACTTTCGGGGCGGAACATGCCACTTCTCCGCGAAACCGCACGCCTTCGGACTGGCAGAGCTCTGTCTGATACACACTCGACGAGACATGAGCGCTTTACCTGCCCACGCCGCACCGACGCTCCGCTCAAATATTACAGAGCTCAAGTATCGCAGCAAGTTGGGACGTGAAAGTCGCCTTGCGATTTCGCAACGACATTGCGCTTCCGACATGCGCTGCATCTCGCGCAGCTCGAGCGGCAACAACTTTTTGGTGGCCTTCCCCCCCCCTCAACCCACGCACACACACACAATGTACGCTACGGTCCAGCGCATGTGCGACTTGCAATGGGACACGTTCCCGGGACACTTTGCTCGCTTGTCCACGCCTGCCTCTTTTCTGCCGAGCTGCTGGCTTCTTGAGACGAAGAGCGACAGACACGCCCGTCCACGCGCGCGTGCCCGAGATAAGCGCTGTGATGCGCTGGGTGCAGGAACCACTCGCGTGCCGTCCGAGTGCAGTCGTGGGCGCGTCATGCCCGATTTCCGGGTCAAGTGCCGATACAGAGGCCGACATATGTCTCGGGAGATTGAATGCAGAGGAGCTGTAGCGTGTTGCAGAGTATGGACTGCTTTGGTGGTTCCTGAGCGAGTCGAGTGCAGACCTGCAGCGGTGTGTTGGTGAACAAATGTATCATGGAATCTTCCGGCGAGTTGCGCTTTTTTCGTCAAACTGGTCCGAGCTTAGCCGCCTCTATCGCTGCTGCAGCACAACAAACAACTGGGCGGACTGAACATCGTTCGCATAACAAAGCGGTACGCGAGAAACAACAGATACGCACCCCATCCTCCATTCTTATCGTGAGAGCGCGGCCTGGTCCACAAGATTCGGCCCACGCTGGCTTGTGTATCCAGTGATGTGCACGCTGTTACAATGGACCTCCGCATCCTACGTACTGTGCGCGGAAAATTTGGCACGATCTCTGCCACGCGTGAGCCCCCAGCAGTCGGCCGACTCGATCGGTCTGCTATGCAGTTGGGCTGATCCAAATTGCGCCGTGTGGCTGAGGCCGTGCACAAACTCACGTCAAAGGTGTGTGTTGTTCTTTGGGCACTTAGGACTGACTTGGCGCTGTCAGTGCACTGCTGGCCGACATGTGTCCTAGCGGCGTTTTGGTTGCGCAGGTGGTCTGTAGTAATAACAATTGGACTGCAGGTGCCACGGAATGCAATAGTGGGCCCATAGCCATTCCATGTGAGCACGCGTGGGATCTCTCTCTTCGCGACTCCCGTTTGCCTCTCGCCCCATCTATCCGTGACGTCTGTTGGTGACTTGACTAGCTCAGGTCCTCTCTCGTGCACGAAGTATCGACCGGTGTCGTGCAACGCTTTTTGGACCGGATCGCTCGTCGAGCTGCTTGCGAGGTTCTAAAATGTGAGATGGCAGCAATGTTGCGATACCAATGTGCAGGTCGACACTTGTTTGTTGATCGACGAGACGAGCTCACAGCTTACAGCTTATATAAAATGCGAGCTCGTCGACCGGTGAAAAAACGTCTCGTCCACCATTCAGGGGTTTCGCATTCTCTCAGCGCTGTTCGTAGCTAGTGAAATCGCTTGCGGCTTTGGGCTCGCAACCGTCACAGCTGAGGCCGAAGCTTTGTCAAAACTGTTTTCGCTATTGCAAAATTTACAACTGACTTCTCTCCCACACTGAAGGTGTCCGTCGTGACGCAGATCAGTTTTGCCCATTTTCCCTCCTAAAAAGGTAAATAGTGCTCAAACATAAAACCCCATCATCATAAGTGGCGATCAACCTTCCTCTCCTCTCCACGACTGGCATCGCATTTGCACAAAACCGTGCCATCAGATTGTTCATATGCCATTTGACTATCCTACCACGTTGACAAACAGTCATCGTATCGTCGCATTTATCTCTGCTCATTACCGATACACAGATGCTGCTTCGATGCTCACACACAGCGTGTTTACAGACCAGACACTTTATCTTGGCTGAAGTGACCACACTCTATTGATTGCTAGGCTCGCCTCGATAGCTGAATGAGGGTGCACTAGTCGGGGGGGGAGGGAGCAGGGAATCGAACTCTACAAAACTCACTGCTATCTCTATAAACAACTGCGGCGACGTTTGTTGCAAGGATCAAAGCGCTACGCCGTTGTGCTCACATATTGTTATTCGCGTGTCATACGGAGGACGTGTCATACGGAGGAATTGCGCTTCGCGATAAGGCAGAGCGCAAACCGTAGTCGGTCATCCGACGTTGCCCGGATGGGAAACGGCCCAGGCGTGGCTTATCTTTGATAAGCCCTGCGCTCATGACTGTCAATTGAACAAAGCATTTCATGGTATGCGGGAGCGTACACCTCACTATTGCAAGCAGCAACTACTAAACTAAACCACGCTCAAACTTTCGCTGTGGCTCTGAAGCAATACCATGAGCACAATCCAGTGCAGCGCAAAGCGCTTGACCATGCAGCAGTAACAATGTGGATACTCACTCGCAAGCAACTTGTTGATCGGGGGGAAAGTTTGGAACTGAGCCTACTCAAAACATGTCTTTCCAGCGAAAAGGATCGTCTACGAAATATCTTCTACAATACCTTCTCAGTAAAAGGTATTGTCCACCGACCTTCCAAGTAAATGGCATTGTCAACCTTCATCCTTAGCTTCATATTTCAGCGGCGACATGCATCCCGTGTCCACCGCACCCTCAGAAGCCCTCTGTCGATCCTGAAGAGTGAGAGCGAGGAGTCAAAACACATTCCGCTCTCTCGACCGCGCACGACACTTTCTACGACTTCCCATGGACCTGTCCGAGATCCCATTCGACGTACCTGTCATTCTCCAATCGACTTGCTGGCTGAAGAATCTGCAGAGTCCGCTCGGGTATAAGAAAGCTCGTTGTCCGACAGACAATCGCGATAGCTACGAGCACGTCGTTCTGCACCGTATCCGTGACGACAAGGTCGCTATCCAGTCTGGATACAATGGCCGCTTTCTGCAAGTCAGCACGTCTGGCGAGTGCGTGTTCGACCCGACTGAACCTGACGCGTGGGAACTCTTCACCATGGAGACAAACTCGGAGTGCTCGCTCTACTTTGTGTCATGCCACACGGGAACTGTCCTCCAATGCGACCAAAACGGTACCGTCCAGTGTGCGAATTCGACTCGCAAGTCTTCGAAAGCATGGCGAATCGTGGAACCCCATAGCACAAACTCTGTCGTCGCCCAGATGCAGCACGCTTTGTCTCCATGCCACACGCTGGCGAACAAGGAGCGCCGGAACTTCGTCTTGGAGCTCGCCAAGTGCGGCAAAACGCCGGACGAGATCGAGCAGATCGTGACCAGACTGTTTGACGGTCCAGCTGCCGCGGCTCAAGGCTCGACAGTAGCTGTCCCAGTTACGAAGGAGTAGGCGTAAGCAATACGCACTTGCGCAAGGTCACAGTCGATGGTTCTTCTTCGAGAGTCAGGGTCGAGCGGAAAAACAAGAGCCGCGCATAAGCTACGGGTTGCTGTGGATCACGCTTTGTAGTGGTGTGTGGTGCAGGACGCGAACGCGAGCGTGAGCCACTTCATCTTGTGCTTGACGACTGCATTACATTAATATCACTGCCGTAAACGATGACTGCAGTTTGGTCCAGTATTTTTGAGCAGCATAGTCTGCCACGACAATGGACATTGACTGAAGCCGACAACTAAAATGCGTGTGCCGCCCCGCCTGACCGGAAGGTAAAAGTGCGATTGAAGCGGTCTTTTGACGCTACCGATGCGGGTCGCACGGTCATAATCGGCCGTCAAGACCAACTAGAACGGCGGTCGTCGTTCTGCTTGTAGTTTACGTGGCCTCATCGATCCAACTGCACTGCCGCAGTCGAATCGATCGGTCAGCCAACTTGGCGCGATGGACTACACAGCGATCGCTTCGGCAATCGTTACCGCACGACTTCTTCAGTGCGGATGTACTGGAGCATGCAGCTCTTTGTAGGTGTCGGTCGAAGGGTATGTATGGCCTCTTCTGGTCGGTCTGCTCGTGACAGAGTGCGTCAGCATGAACCCATTTCAGGCGTATCAACGCGTTATCACCATCTTCGTCTATCTGCCCTCGCGACCCTTCGTAAACGAATACACAGACCACTTGTCTCACCGCAATATAACATTCGACAGCCCCTTTGCAGCGCCCGTCTTTTGCGCCATCCTCTCGACCGACTGGCGCCAGAGCATGATAAGAAGGACAATGGCTACACTTCCGCCTGTGGCTCGCCTGTCGATTGCGCCCATGGTACGGTCGCTCTCGCTTCTTCTTCCGAGCGCGCAGCAGCACAAGTCCACGACTCTACTGACGTGACACGTACCGCTCAGATGGACTGGACGGACCGCCACTACCGCTTTATGATGCGCATGATCACGAAGGAGACGCTGCTGTACACCGAAATGATAGTGGACCAAACTGTGCGGTGGACGTTGCGATACAAAACTTGTGACGCTTTGGGTATTGGGCCATATCGGCTGCTAACGATGTCGAACCTGTTGACTTTGTAGCAGCTGCTGCACCAGAAGAAGAACCTCGACTACTTCTTGGGCCATGACGCCGTCGAAGCTCCACTGGCACTGCAGCTGGGCGGTAATAGTGTCGAACATCTTAGTGGTACGACCTCTTCCCATTCATTTGACGTTATGCCGCTGCATTCGCTGCTGGTGCTGACAGTGCAGCACTCGTGATGCCGTGTGGTTCCAGCTGCAGCACATCTGAGCCAGTCGTTCGGCGGCTTCTGTGAGATCAATCTGAACACTGGATGCCCTAGTGCACTCGTGTCCAGCCGCTGCTTTGGAGCACGCCTGATGCTGGACCCGGATCGAGTGCGGGAGATCTGTGCTGGTATGCAGCGCAGTGTCGCATTGGCAGCAGAGACGGATCCAGATCAAGTGCCAGCAGAGGTGACGGTCAAGTGCCGCATCGGCGTGGACGACTGCGACAGCTACGAGGAGTTGTACCAATACATAGCCTCTGTCGCGAAAGCTGGCGTGCGTCACTTCATCGTACACGCGCGCAAGTGTTTCCTGAAGGGGCTGAGCACGAAGGATAACCGCACGATCCCTCCGCTTCGCTACGAGGTCGTCTACCAGCTCAAGCATGACTTTCCTGAGTTGCAGTTCACGCTCAATGGCGGCGTACAGAGCATCCAGCACGCCCGAGAACTTCTGGACACTACAAATGTAGACGGTGTCATGATCGGACGCGCGGCCTATAACACGCCATGGAACTTCCGCGACGCCGACCGGTTGATCTTCAACGCTAAGCGCAACCCGAATCTGTCACGGCGGGAAATCATTGAGCAATATCTCACGTACGCCGAGGAGCTGCAGTCGAAGTGGGGGTCCACAACACCGCTGGGTGAGTCGCCTTACACCATGGCCACATCTGCATTGCTGAAGCCGCTGTTGGCTCTTTTCAAGTACGTTCATCTCTTTCTATTCCTTGTGTCAACATTCGTGCTTGACATGACTTTTGTTCCCGCAGCGGCGAGATCGGAGGAAAAGCATTCAAACGTAGCGTTTCGGCTCAGTGGGCACGAAAGGGGCCACGTCCGGAACTGCGCGACATGATCGAAAATGCCGTAAAGGTTTTGCCCGACGAGGTGCTGGATGCGCGTGTTGAGGATGAGCTCGCTGGTCAAGCCTGTCCGCAGATGGACGACGTGCAGGCATTAGACTGCTGCTAGTGTGAGCAGACGAGGGTCAAGTAAGCTCGAGATATACGTTCTTCATTGTACTTGTTGCTCGTCCATCACCAAGTGCTCAAGCGCTTCGCCGATAACGTCGTACACGTCTTGGGCATTTCGAGTGCGAGCCATACGATCACGTAGCTGGCGCGCGTTGGGCACTCCTTTCAGATACGAGCCGTAGAACTTTTTCATGCGTGGGAACCCCACAAGACCGGGTGCCGCCAAGAGTTCCTGGAAAAGCTGTGTGTGGCGCAAGATCACCTCCAGCTTTTCTTTCATTGACACATGCGACGTGTCTGGGTGCCCCTGGAACAGCCAGGGGTTGCCAAACAAAGCACGGCCGAGCATGACGCCGTCGACGCCGTATTCGTTGACTTTGTGCTGCGCGTCCACGAGACTCTCGACGTCGCCGTTGCCGAGTATCAGCGCAGGCGAGCCGATCGATTTCGCCAGCACAACCACCTCCCCAATGACGTCCCAGTGTGCCGGTACCTTTGACATCTCATCGCGCGTTCGTCCGTGGACAGTGAGCACCTCGATCTCGGTCGCTAGTAGCCGCCGTACCCAGTCCTTGTACTCAATGTGGTGGAACCCAATGCGCGTCTTGACGGACACGGGCAGCGGCCCTGCTCCCCATTTACACGCCGCCACGATCTGACTCGCCAGCTGTGGCTGCAATATCAAGGCGGCCCCGCTCCCCTGGTTCGTCACGGTCGTCTCTGGACACCCCATGTTGATGTCAATGCCATCGAAGCCCAATTCCCGTACGATCATAGCCGACTGGTGCAGTAATGGACCCAATCGTTCGCATGGACAGACAAAAGCACGACGAGGAGCTCACGTGAGTCACAGTTCATACAAAAAGAGACTCTCAAACAGATCGACACACAGATAGATACACAAACAGACTGTGGACGGGTCGATCGACAGACATAGATTTCATTGATGAGGCGCCATCGACGCACCTCGTAGAACTGCGCGGGCTTCGAGCCAAAGAGCTGCGCGACCACCGGCCGCTCTTGCTCCGCGTACTTGAGCGTCATCATCATGCGGCGGCGCGAGTCCGCGTCGTGTGTGAGCGCCTCGCAGCTCACGAACTCGGTCCACATGACGGACGGCTTGGCGATGTCGCAGATGAGCCGCCGGAACGCCGCGTCGGTCACGTTGGCCATGGGCGCCACGCAATAGAGCGGCCGCGCGAGGTCCTGCCAGAAGCTGCTGCGCATGGTGGTGAGTTTGTTGAGGTGCTGGTGGTGTGGCACAACGTAAAGATGGTGTGGCACAGAGTGAAGGTGGTGAGTTCGTTGAGGTGCTGGTGGTGTGGCACAGAGTGAAGGTGGTGTGGCACAGAGTGAAGGTCCCTCAGTTGAAGTTCATGACGAGCAGGACGATCACGCGCGGCCGAGGCGCGCGAGGACAGCTCGTGCTCTACAACCCGCACACAGTGCCGATTGAAGGTATGCAGCCATGTATGGTGTTGCACCTGCTACTCGTGCGCACTCTGCTGGCGTGTCGTGTGATGTGATGTGACATGTGTGCGTATGTGTGCAGTGGCCCACGAGCTCGAAGGCGGTCATGGCTTCCAACCAAAAGGCAACTGACTTACTGATGGGCACTTGCATTCTGTGTGTACGCCAATCCCTACGACGACTAACTGTCAGTTGAATCGATCATGTGCCACGTGGCAGAAGCGACAGGTTGTCTGGCCGGTACGTTGGCCTCGTCACGCTGTCACACGCAGCGGTTGCTGAGTTTTGACTGACGACGCGGAGCTCTCGTCAGACGTGATGATCTCACAGCGACAGGGCGAGTTCCCCCCCGTGGCGTTCATGGTATCGACATAAACCTCAAGCTCACCATAAGCAACAGCTAACAGTTGCGGCTTCACGTGATGAACTGACGCATGACTTTTCAGCTTGTGCACAGAGAGGTGTCTGGGTTTTCGATCGAGCGCACGGTCGACAGGAAAGCGCGATCAATGCACTCGTCTGCCGAGCGAGGAGAAGCATCAGTCTCATCGATTGCAGCTGGTGTTGTCTTTACACAGGATTCTGAAGGCTCAGCAGGCATTCAAGAACGCGTTTGCGATCGCTGTTCTACCGATCCCGCAGTATTCGAGGCTGCAGCTTCTCGCCATGAGAAGCTCAGCGAGTATCAAGATATTCCCAGGTACGTCGGAGCTTATGCGCTAGCAATGTCAACTGGACTAACGCCGGTTCTGCAACACTCTTCGATCGTAGCCTTCAGCATTCGTGCGGCCGTCAAGCTCATGGTTTGCCCTGCTCTTTTTGCCACACTCTCAGCGTCCCTCGTCATGATTTGACACGCTCGATTGAACACGAAGCAGGTGTCCGTTCACGAAAAGCATGCTATCGAAGTCTCCAAGAAGGCTGACTTGCTCAACCAGCGCGTACGTAATCGCTCTCGAAGAGACACTATCATTGTACTGCGATATCTGCTGCATAAGTGTACTACTGACAAGAGCATGCACTGACATTGCTAGATGGACGAAGAACTGCTCACTCGCCAACATGCAATGCATACGCTGCGAACCAATTTTCCGTTTCTTTCTGTGGACGAGTGTGACATGCTCCTCGATCTTTTTGGTGCGTGAACGTGAACTGCAAGTGCGTGAGTAAGTAGTTCACGCCAGTGTGGAGCAGGCAACATTGCGTCAATCTCCCTGGCTGGGGCGGAGAAACTGCTGGATATGACTGTGCTGAGCACATCGGCAGCCCATGCGATCGAAACCTTCTTCACGACCGAGTATGTTGTCGAGTGATGCGAAGAAACGTATGTCAGCGACCGCCACGAAGGATAATGACTACTTCGTCTTCAGTTCATATATATATCACCTACACCGCCACTTCGTGCATGCGCTACTACTGCTACAAGTCAGGCATACGCTGTGACGACTTTGCCGCCATCGACGCGTAACTCTCTCAGTTGCGGGCACTGAGACGCGATAACGTCGACCTGGGTTTTCATCGCACTTTGCGAGAACGCGATGCTGAGACCGTGACGTCTGCGCATGCCCTCGAGCTCGGCAGCTAATGCGAGAGGTTGCGAGGTGATGCCACAACATCCACCGATATCCAGCGATTCAAGTGTCGGGCTCGAAGCAGCAAGTGACCGCAGCCCCGAGAGCGTCAATCGGCCCTGACCGCACAGCTTCAGATGCTTCAACTGCGTACATCGTGCGACCAGGTGCGCCAAAGCACTGTCAGTGACACCACCTCGACCACGTCCGAACGGGTTACTTTGGGAAACGTCGAGCGACGTCAACCGCGGGCAATGGTCTCCGAGAGCCACTACACAGTCGTCCGTGAGTTTCCTGCCTCGACCCACCAGAAGCGTTTCCAGCTTCGAGCAGTTGGTGGCAATGCAAGCGACTGCAGCGGACGTTACTGCCGGAGAGCTCTTCAACTTGATCACGCGCAGGTTCGTACAGGTTCGAGCGAGCGTCTTGACTCCGTCTTCGGATATCTGTCGGCAGTAGCTGAAGTTTATCCGGTCCAGCGACTGCGGATGGCGATCGCCCATGGCCTGCAGAGCTACATCGGTGAGTCGCAGACACTTGACAGCGCGCACCTCGCGCAAGTGGTCGCTCGAGGCCTCGACAATTGCTACAAAGTCGCGATCGCACAGCGAGTGACAGCCCGAGATGGTCAAGTGCGTCAGACTGCGGAACTGCTGGGCCGACTGCGCGATCGATCCTTCTTGGATGACGCACCCCACGAGCGTCAGGTTCGTGACCTGTGGACCGTGACGCTTCGCCACGAGATTGACGAGTGTGGACGCGCACGGACTGCTGCTGCTGCTGTGTCCTCGGCGGTCGAGACGCACGTGCGTCCAGAAGCTCGCGGGCGTGAGCGTCCGTCTCCATGACCCACTCACGCGCTCTAATGACAGCATATCGTCCACGGAGAGATAGGAGAGGAGCTCCTGAAGGACGTCGGTCGACAGACAAGTGGCGTCAACTGACATCGCTGGGGCTGTGTTGACGATCGTGGGACGAGTGGTCTGCTACCGCAGCAGGTTGAGGACTGGGGTCGAGTCGCCGCCATGAGCCGTCTTCCTCCATGGGGTCGGTCGCTTGCGGTTAGGAGAAAAAGTCGACGTGTACCGAGTACGCCGCATGATTGGTGAGATCAAACGGGCGAGCGACACGGACAACGGACGACACGAGCGACGGCGTAACCTGTGGCCACGACCGCCCGCATCGTAAACAAAGGGCCGACGGCGATAGAAGAAACAGCGTAACCTCCACATACTACTGTTTTAACACATGTGGTGGACCGTGAGCTTTGATATCATTCAGTGCACACGTACGTACTACTACTTCCCTCTTCCTAGCGGAAGAGGGACACCCACCAGCAGCCAGCAGCACGATGCAATACGACACAGCAAACACGACACTGCTTGTTGTCCGGAGCGCACTCGATCGCAACACTTGGGGTGGCACGCACCATCCACGTCTACTCGATCTTCTTCGCGGTCGTGCTGGGCGCCACCTGCTCGAGATGACGGAAGTAGTCGTCCAAGAACCGGAAGTACCACGTCTGGTCGAACGTCCCGCGGAAAAAGTTGCACGAGATGTTGACCTCCAGCAGCAGCACACCCACGTCGGTGATGGCCACGTCCCAGCCACAGAGCGGCACGTCTTTCATCAGCTTGTAATGCGCCTCCTCCGCGAGTCGCTTCATCGCCTTGATCTCTGCAATCACGTTGCCCGTGATCGGAACGCCCGTGTCCGGGTGGCTCGTGATGTCGTGCCCGACGCTGCAGTTGCCGCGGAACATGTGCTGTGGTCCGACGCGGTACCAGTGCGTCGTGGTGGAGCCCTTGAGGATCTTGCCCGACTCCATGTCGACGTCGAACATGATGGACTTGTGGTCCGTTGCCGCACCGGCTAATCCAGCGCGAAACACGCAGCTGAGCGACTTGACGCCATTGCCGCCGTCCTTGAGCGCTTCCTCTGCTCCCAGGCCGTGCCGTGACGCCGTGATGATGCGGAAAGTCGAGAGCGGCGCCACTCCTGGCAGCAGCTTTTTCAGAGAAGGGGCGTTCTCCAGCTTCTCCTGGATGATGTAGTCGCCTCCGTTGACAGCGTTCTTGAACATGAAGATGCCCATACCCCCCTCCTCGTTGCGGTCCTTGATCACGAGCGAGCTGGGCGACTTGAGGTACGGCGTCACGGCAATGCCGTTCTTCTCCGCCTCGACGAGGAAGTCCCATTTGTTCTCCATGCTGTACCCGGGCGACTGCGTCTTGAGGCTATGGAGACTCACCACATGACAGTTCACGCGCCAGAAGGCGAACCAGTTCTGAGGACACACGAAGATCTGCGCGAACGTGCGCAAGAAGCGCTCAATGATGTTGCCCTGTTGGTTCGAGTACTCTCTCGGGAGCTCGAAGAAGGCACCAATGGCACAGAGCCATGGGTACACGAAAAGCAAGAAGGGGAAGAGAACGAGACGTGAGCAGCTCACGATCGAGAGCGGAACGCCTGTGCCCGGTATCGCAACGTTGCGCAGGTTCGTGACCAGGTCCTTGTGGAAGCTGGAGTGGCGGTAGTGCGGCTGGCTCCACAGCGAGTTGAGCAGTGCGATCGAGTAGACATACGTCTTGGCGTGCAGGTCGTCGGCGAAAAAGGGGCAGTCGGCGTAGCTGCCACGGCGCACCCAGTAGTGCAGCAGTGCACCGTAGAAGCTCAGGAGCGTCTTCGTCGCGCCAGCGCCGGCGGAGACGATGCCCAGGACCATGTCTCGACTCTCTGGCTGTGCTCGCTCTCGGGCGGTGAGACGACGGAGCTGCTCGAGCGTGCAGCTGACTGCGGATGGAGAGATCTTAGCCGGCTGCGATTTGCGCCCGCCACAGACAAAATGGAAGAAATCGTTTTCCAGATTTGTCTTGTCGCGTGTTTGTGCGACAAGGATGTGGAATACAAATAGTACTCTGCAGAGAGCTTCGACTGGGCCGCTCGTCGCCTTCTGCTCTATTTGGATGCGGGTCGAGCTCTATTTGACAGTCGCTCCTGCTCTATTTGATGGTCGCTCCTGCCATGTCCTAGTTTAGGGGACAGCTTTGCCCAAACTTGGCTCTGACGCTCAGCTGAGCGTGCGGAAGCTTGCTCGAATCAACGTGCGTGAGAGTGCCGTAAGCTCAAGTAGACACGCGACTACGCGCGAAATGTCTGACGTAGCAGCGAATGGTGCGCCAGTTGCTGCAGCATCAAGTTGATAGTTTGTTGGATTTTACCAGTACCGTGCGTCGGTGAAGACTCCCATGTACGCACTATCGCCGGTGCCCCTATGCATGCAATTAACGCCGCAGTGCCTCAGCCAGCAGTGTAACAGGGACGAGAAAATAACCTGTCGTCTATGACGATTGTTGCAGGCTTCAGTCGTGCCCGCTGGGCTGAGCTCAGCGATCGATCGACCTTCCGCGGGTGCAGAGATGGGACATGTGCATGCGATCAGTGCGTTCCCTCTCACCAGACGGTCGTCAAGTACCTTTTCTTGCTTGGCGGTTGTGGACGTTATGCACGACGGACTTCCACAGGAAGTCAGAGCTCGAGCGCAACTCGGGACTTTCGGTCTGTCCGTCGTCCGAGTCAGGTTTTCGGCGAATCTCATCGAGCTGTCACTGCGTCGTCGGTTGCTGAGAAACGACCGGCGTTTCACATTAGTGACATTCATGGCGACCGTCGCGCAGACCGCCGGCCAAACGCCGCTCCACCTGTCCAGAAGCACATCCGATGGGCTCCAAGCACTCGCGCCCCTCAACGCAGTCAACGACCGACGCGGCCCGTCCACGTGCGTCGAGAGCCCATGGCGGAACGGCACCAGTCGCTGACGAGATTTCGGCCGAAGCGCGCGCCGAGTTCACTGTCGCTGACATCCACTGCCCGAACAACACGCGACGTGCGCAAACACTGTGGACCAGCGACAACGACCGCTTCTGCAAGTACCGCAACTACTTCAAGAACCACCACATGTCACTGGCTCGAGAAGTCGGGCGCAAAACGAGTAAGAGCAAAGCAGCGCTACTGCAGTGGGTCGAAGACGCGGTGGGTCCACTGCACGAGGGCGACAAACTGACAAAAGACGAGATCTTAGAGATCGCAATGGTCTCAGCAGCTCTTACCGAGTACACCGAGGCGGCGCTCGCCAAGATGTACGCTCGGGGCGAGCTCAACGCCCTTCCCAACGTGCCGCTGCACACGCACAACATGCGCATGCCTGCAACGCAGCAGGCGTGTCGCAACAGCTCGAACGCGGCGAACAAGGACAAACTCGAGGCCGCCCATTACATTGGACTCGAGGTCATGCTTCGGCTCAACGAGCGTCTCCCCGTGGAGCGTCGCATGGGCGATGAGCTGCGCCAGATCCTCAATCATTCGAGCAATCTCCGCCTCATGCTGGCGACGAGTAATCAAGTGCTGCACAAGAAGGTGGACGCGATGCTGATCAACGCCAAAGAAGCAGTGGACACGCTGGAGTCGACGACTGCCACACAGCATAAACAAGCCAAAAAAATCTCGACTCGTGAATACGACCGCCTCGTTCAGATCGCCAAGCACGCTCAAGACGATATTTTCCAAGATGCTATGATCGCCGCCAATGGGCGTCATTTGTACGTAAGCTTGCGCCAGCAGTTCATTCTGCTGGACATCGGCGATCGACCCGTGCTGTGGGATCTTGCAAAAGACAAGCCGGAGCTTCAGCAGCCCGTCCGTTCCAGATTGCGCTCACCGTCACCAGTAAGGGGACCGCGATTAGCGCCTCCGTCACCAGCAAAGAAGCGGGACCCAGAATCAAGGATCCGAAACAATGCTGTGTCAAGCACACCCGCGTCTACTGAGAAGCATCATCGCAACCCGTTTTCTCGTTTGGCAGCTAAGATATTCCGATCGCGTCACAAGAAAAAAGAGGCGCAGGCATCTGTCCCCGCTATGACGACACGAGAAATCTCCAGTGAGCCTCCACGGTCCGTCGCACCTGCGAGATCGGCAAAAACGAACAAGAAGAAACCGTTGGCGAAAACAAAAGCGACGCCGCAGACTAAGAACGCGAACAAGCCGAAGCCGTCGAGAGCAAAGCGAAACCCTCGACCTCCGGTCGCTGCGAAGAAGACAGCGAAACAATCGGTTTCACGTTCGAGCCAAGAGTCTTCGTATCGCGACAGCTCGTCTTCAGATGGCAGTGATTACACCGACGCCGATGTGGTCCAGACGGACGACCGCGTATATCATGTTGGCCCTCGCGGAGGCAAATATTACATCAACGAGGCTGGCAAGAAAGTGTATGCGAAAGAAGCGTGAACGTGACGTTGGTTGTTCCGAGGATCAGCCTTGTTGCACTCGAGGCTCTGTCTCGTGTGCACTTAGTGCTCGAATTGTTGGCATGGATCAATCCTTGCCGACTTTCGCGTTGTTGCTGACGGGCTGCGCTGTCTGATGGGCATTCTAGTGAACGGTACTCACATGATGCATTTTGCAACGCATGGGCTGTTTGAAACGCTCTGGTAGCTACGTCGATTCTCCATTGTGGTCTCCAAGCTCTGCTTTATCGTTCCAGCTTACAAGAGACTCTGCAGTAGTGCGTGTCTGATGGCCAACAGTTCCTTTCTAGCGGTCAGTTTGCACTCGGTACATACAGCAACCAAGCGGCGCGTAACGCATGACGAGCTCTTGTGTACAAATGACTGTGTCGTCTCCCGTGCGCAAGAAGACCATATGGATGGCCAACCTTTTCTGCTAGTGCTCTTCCACCAACTTCTAGCCAGAGGATACCGTCACATGCTGAGGTGAGGAGATGCCCTCATATGACGACGACTTCGATGCCAGAGATGGAGACACCAACACCGATGATGGCGACGAAAACGGCATCGTCCACATGAATTCACGACGCGAGAGAGCGTGGACACTGCAGAAAAGACAGAGACAAATGCACCACCGCATGAGAGCGACGATAAGATGCCGCTCGTACACATCAGTTCTACCGATAGACCCGACTGTTGCGGTATTTGCAATAAGCAAAGAGCCGCTCGGTCGGTTTCGGCACTCCACTCGACAAGTTCGCCACTGTAGTCAACTCAGTCCATACTGATCATCAAAGCCGGCGCCGACAGTCGAAAGTATAGATGCATTGCTCACCTTGACGCACCCACTCTGAGCGCCCGTAGAAGTTGCACGCATAGCGGTGGCATGTCGTTCATTTTATTCCAGTACATTACTTGGGCTTTTCCGGATAATGTGCATGAATAGATTGAGAACTTCCGCTATGATGATGGGCGTTTTCGATGAACATAGTGACAGCAGGCAGCTCAACGCGCAACTACATTTGACCTGCTGATCTATGCCCAAAGAAATGGAAACCGGTCATCAATAGCAATTTGACGGGTATTTACTGTGCGCGACGTTTCTTAGACATAGAGTACTGTAAATCGCGCCTCAGCTTCTATTTCCCGTGCACGACGTTTCTAAACCGTGCTGCACTGTAAACAAGTAGTCGTCGCAGCTCTGGCCATGGGTCGGCTCTGTGAGTGGTGACCTTTTTGTAGCCCATTCAAATTCAGTATGCCACCCCTCACTTCCCCTCCTCACTTCGTTTAGTCCACACTTTGAGAATCGGACATGTTCGGCGGGGCCGAGGAACATGCCAAGCAGCGCGAAAAGACGTCGGGAGTGGTGTGTGTGTGTGTGTGTGGCGGTCCTTCTGTCTGCCTCCCGACACGCCAACTGACACTAACACCTCATCTTCCGTTGCTGTGTGCTGACAGACGGGAGAGCCGTACCATGCGCAGGGCAACGGCTGCGTCGTTTGCAGCTCCGACCAGAACGGCGACAGCATCTTACTCTGTGACGGCTGTGACGGCGAGTACCACACGTACTGTCTTGTGCCCCCTCTGACCGAGATACCGGCGGGGGATTTCTACTGTCAGAACTGCACCGACGTCTCCCCGGCCACTGACTTACGTCCGACCGCAGGAGCTCCCGGCAAACGATCGTCCGATCCACGTGCAGAGGCAGACTCTGTGTCGCCTTCTTCTTTGTCCGCCACGTCCGCTTCCGCCGAGTCGGCTGTCCACATGAAGGAGTCCAAGTATAGAGGTGTGTCCAAAGTGTCGATGCGGGGCGTCAAGAAGCCATTCGTGGCCAAACTCTGGCAGGGGTCCAAGTACCTCCAGCTAGGCACCTATGGAAGCGAGATCGAGGCGGCTCATGCGTACGACAAGGCAGCACTCATGCACTACGGCAAGAGCGCGCAACTGAATTTCCCGCATCTGCACGACAGCTTCAGCCATCCAGAAGAGTCGTTTAGCGGTCGTCCGCACGTTTCAAATCCTGCAACAGAACATCGTGCTGCGTTGCCAGATGCTCGTCCTTCACCCGCAGAGCACCGCGTTTCTCCTGGACGTGGACGAGGCAGAGGTCGTGGACGCGGGCGAGGTCGCGGACGTGGCAAGCATTTACTAGCCTCGCCCGATGTTCATCGAAAAGCCAAGCGTCAGAAGGCAGAATCCGGCGAGCCAGTAATTGGTTCATTTGATGATAAGCGATTGGGCAAGAAGTATCTGGGAGTCCAGGTACATCGTGTGTATGCACACGCGCAAATTCTCGTCAATGGAAAGGTGATCAATTTGGGCACATTTCCCACAGCAGAAGATGCAGCAATGGCATACGACAGGGCAGCGTTGCAGTACTTTGGAGGTCCAAACGGCTCCAGTGATGCTCGTTCTGGCGAGATTGTTCTTAATTTCCCAGATAAACGTGATGAGCTGCTGAAGCAGCTATTCGAGGTGGAGCAACAAAAGGTGGCGAACCAGGCTGGGAGACCGAGCCATGCTAGCCGCGGCGTCCAGAATGCGAAACACAATTTGTCGATTACAAAGCTGAACACGTGGATGTCAAAGTTACAGCGATCAGTAAAAATGGTAGAGGCTTCGCAGCGAGTTCAGTGGGGTTTGCATTCGACGCTCGAAGAAAGCGAAGAGGAAGACACGAAACAGGGAGATGATGTCACTTGCGTTCCGTCATATGTAAAAACCGAGATATTTGGCTCCGGGCCTACGATCAAGAAGGAGTTCACGACTCGCGATCAGAAATCGAGACAGAGCAATAAGCAGATTCAGGATGCGGTCTCGTTGATGACCGAAGAGTTAAGCCTTTACGCAGCCGACGTACCTGAAGACCCCCTCTTCCAGCCACCACCTTCCTGTGCCCCCATCCTGGATTTGCTGTCGAGTTCTCGGCATTTGAAATTGATCAGCGCTATCAATGATCTTGCGCATCTGAAGGTCAAAGTTGACGGAACTGATGCGAACTCGATATACAATGGACGCTTCGAGAGCAAACTGCAAACTGTCGTTGACTACCGCGCCCGACTTCAAATGTCAAGCAGAAACGAGAAGCAGAAACTGGCCCGCTTTGTGCACGATATTGAGACTGAAGTTGCGTGTACTTTAAACAGCACTTGTCCCGCTCCCAGTAACAGTGTCTCCCCCACGGCAAAGCTAAGACTCGAGACGCTGAAGGGATCTGGTTTTTTGTCACATGCGCGATATGTGAAGCGGAAAGTGCAAATGTTGGAACCCGTCGGGTTGAGCCAACAAACACATGGGAATGGGGTAAACCCATCTGAGCTTGTAGTGCGGCCTGACGAAGAGATGAAGAACGATGTAGTCGGCGATGTAGACAAGGCAGAGGAAGTCGTGATGGTTGTTAGCGTGAAACCGGAAGCGACAGCTGATGAGAAACCAGAAAACGAAACAATTGATCGGCCAGTCACGTTGGTAGTGGCAGAAGCGGAAGGAACCGAACATGCCATTGGGTGTGAAGCAAGCCGCCAGAGTGCGAATGAAGACATGAGCAAAGTTGCTGACAAGTCACGCACATGTGCTGATGCTAAGCCGCAAGATGCAGACATTGACGGATCTGCGAGCAAGGAGACGAACGAGGTTGCGCGATCTTTGATAACAGCAGCGGAGGAAAGAGCGATAGAAAAGGAGGACCATCAAGAGAATGAGCTGGAAGCCGAAGAAAGAAAGAATGAGACGGAAAAGGTAGCGGAAACCGATATTGAAGCTAAGTCACCGGAAGATGAGTCAAAAGCAACTAAAATGGATGAAGGGGACGATGCAGAGCAGCCTGAGCTTCTCGAAGGACGCAATGTAGATGGCAGCAAGGGCAGCGACCGTCAGGAAGTTCCATCATCTGACAGTCGCGCGACTAGCATAAAGCATGAAGATAATCGTACGAAGCCGAAAGATGACGTGGCTACGAAAGGTGGCAGTTGTTCTTCGCCGTCGGCTGTTGTAAGCATATCTGAAGTTGATAGTACGAAGCCGAGTGATGACGCGGCTACGAAAGGTGGCAGTTGTTCTTCGCCATCAGCTGTAGTAAGCATACCTGAAGACACATATGAGTGGGAATTCTGTTTGGCCGTTCGCACAGCGGCCGAAGACGTGTGGCGACTGCTTCCGCTATCAGGGAAGACGCCAGCGCCAGATACGTTTGTTGATGATGTTTATTTGACGGAGAGGGAAGTTGCTGAAATGGAAGTCTCCGAAGACGAAGTATGCTCGTCTTCTGTTGCGCCGGATGGAAAAACTGCATGGATGGAGCATCTGCGCCAACTTCACATCGGTGAAGGTCAAGTCCGACAACGTATTCAGCGTGGAGTTGACTACCAGCACGCATTACAGGGGATGATGAGAATCAAGCAGGACCAGCTGGATGAGATGTCAGTCGTGTACCGTGAAGCTATGAGCGGACTCGACTTGAAGGCTTCGTTGGTGCTAGAGAACCACGCGCGCGTGAGTCAGGATGCCAGGCTTGTAAAATTGATGCAGCACTCGTTCGACCCGATTCTAGGCGACCTGCTGGATGAGTGCGAAGAGGCTTTACTGAATTGTTTCCATAAGTTGTCTCTTCGGTTTGAGGACTTTGCTCAAGAGTTCGAGTACTATCGAAACGCACTCATCAGTTTGACACAGTTGTCAGGAAAGGAGCTTGGTATTGAAGATGGCCGTACTTGCTCGGTTGACACTGCAGATATTGGCATTGATGCCAACAGCGTAGTCATAAAGCGTGAAAATATTGCTCAAGTCGTCGGGTATCCCACTGATACAATATCGACTGCATCCGAAGGGTTGGAGCTGGAAAGCGATACCGAAATGATTGCGACCGGCGGCGATGATTGCCATGACTTCGATGGCAGTTTAGGTTTACGGCAAGCCTACGTCAACTTTTACACAGGTGAAATGGAAGCGCTTTGGAAAGAACGGAGCTCATCACTGGAAATGGTACAAGCCATCCAGCGCTCCTTACTGAATCATACAACTGAAGTTGATCAGCCTCCTGGGAAAGCCACTTTGTCAGTAACGATGGCAACACCGCCCGGGGCTGCGACTGCGAAGCCCATAGAGTCAGAGCAGAAGGTAGAAAATATGGATATAGAGGAAGTGGCGACGGAGTCAAAAATTGCGAATGCAGTAAAAACAGAAACGGAGACTGTAACAGTACCTGTTGTTGCAGAAAAAGGGGCAACAGAAATCGGCAATGAGATTACAAGCAGGTCGACCGAAAACATCGTGCTGTCAGCCAACACTCCGATTGTTGACACGACGCTATGCCTGACAAGCGAAGAAGCTGGGATATCGGAGATGGCGTCATTCCTCGCGAGCAATGAAAATAGTGTAGATACGAAGCCACAGAAAGCTCCTGGGCGATTTCGACGGGAACTGGAGCTACGCAGAGCAATTGAATCATGTTTGGCTCAGTGGCAGCGCATCCAGTGGCCAGAGGAGCTTAACTGTACATTACTGGCTCATGCAAGTACGTATTTGTCCAAGACGTGTCTGAAACGAGAGGGCGAGCAAATGACAGTACAGCCTTCGTCCGAGATGGGTGAAGAGGATGCAGAACATGACTCCCCGTATGGCGTCATGGAGGAGTTGAAACGTGTGATGACCCGTTTGACGCAGGACCATGCGAGTCCAGTACCAGCACCGCTAGGACCGACAACGTCGGTGATGTATCACCCTGTGTTTATCGATCACCAGACACCGAAGAACCACCCGGAGTGCCCGGAGCGCATCGATGTGAGTGCAATGTACTGTCGATACTGCATTGAGTACCTATGTTATATAATGGTGTATCTGACCAAATGTATTTCCTGTGCTGCAGCGAGTGGTGACTATGCTAAATTCGCTAGTAAAGAAGCACCAAGAGACGCTCAAACTTGACCGTCTCTCGATGTCACCAGAGGAGCTCTGTCCTCCCGAGACGACACTGCTGATGGTACACTCGCCGACGTATTTGCGGCAACTGAAGGAAAAATCGATTGAGGCTGGATCACAACTCGTTTCGTCTCCTACGGCATCTTCGCCTTCACAAAGGGCTCTTGTGTTCGAGTCCGACTCGGGCATCCGCGAAGAAACACCAAAGCATGGGGGAAAAGGCAAGAACAGACGACCGCTGCTGGTTGGAGCCTTTGGCGCTGCCAGTCTCGAGCAAAATGGCGTGGAGTTGGACACGTTCGTGAGCAGCAAATCATGGGATGTTGCCCGCGCGGCTGCAGGTACTGTGTGCCTGGCTGTGGACCGGGTCGTGCGCAAAGAGTATCGCAACGCTGTGTGTCTGGTGCGTCCTCCGGGACACCATGTCGGTCGCCATGGCCGGACAGAGAATGCCCCATCATCGGGCTTTTGCTTACTGAACAACGTGGTGATCGGCGCTACCCACGCGCGTTTGTACCCATGGATCAGCAAAGTTGCAGTGCTCGATTGGGACATCCACCACGGAAATGGGACGGAGGAGCTGCTGAAGGACGACCCGGACGCATTCTTCGCGTCCATCCATTTGTACTCGTCCGGAAAATACTTTCCGGGAACGGGGAAGTCATGTGAGACGGGCAATCTTGTGAATGTGGCGCTCGAAAACACGGGCGCCGGGAGCGGGTCGCAAGCCTTCCGGTCCGCCGTTGAGTCGAAAGTACTGCCAGCAATCAGAGCGTTCCAGCCGAATATCATATTTATCTCGGCAGGCTTCGATGGTCATCGCGACGATATCCTGGGCGGTGTGGCCGCTGTCCACAACCCCAACGTGCCTGCCGGATATATCGAGGAGGACTACGCATGGGCCACGTCGGAGGTTCTCAAGCTGGCTGCCGAGGTGTGCGATGGCCGAGTAGTTTCAGTGCTGGAGGGGGGTACGACATTCGTCGGGAGACAAACTCGCTAGCCAAATCTGTGGCGGCGCACGTAGCTGCCATTTCCGATTACGAGGTAGCCCGGCGAAAGGCGGGCGACAACGTTGCAGCTGATGTGGTGATGAAGAAAGAGGGCGGAAGTGACGATGACACTGTTCATGCGAGTGCAGTTCCCGCATCGACTTGTGGCTCCTCCATGAAGACGGAAGCCGAGCCGCTGGTGGTGAAGAAGGAGCGCATTGGTCTGCTGGAGAAGTTGTTGTCGACAGATTTGACAGCGGACGACGTGATCATTGTCAACTACGAGGAGAACGAAGAAGAGGAGGGCGGGGCAGCTCGCGAGGCGCAAGACGACGGCAACAGCGATCCCGAAGACGATGTAGTGGAGGAAGACGACGAGAGCGACGCAGCGATGGAAGATGTTGAACCGGAGAGCGAGGAGCTCCAGGATTACGACCGTGTCGAAAAACGACCGGACACGACTTCTTCGGCGATGGAGGTAGACGACAGCTGAATAAAGACGAGGTCATGTGTGTGTTTTGATTGGACGATAGCCAGTTGACGGATTGGTGCCGAGGTCGTAGACGGACCAGTTTTGGTCCCAGTTGAGTTCCGACGCAACGAAATCTCCCTCCGACGCGCCATGAGCGACCCGTTCTACCTCGCCGACATCTTGCTGGGCCGCGTCGGCGTGCTGCGCTCCACGGCCGACAGCATTATCCTTGAGCTGTGCGATGCGCAGGCCAAGCTGGAGCCGTCGAAGGCCTCTGACGACGCGTTGCGTCTGGCCATCAAGAACAAACTGGAGCGCGTGCAGACGAATCTTAAGCTTCTGCGCAAGCTCGTGCCCGAGTTTGGTGCGTCTGGTTTTGTGTGTACACAATTCGTGTACACAATTTGTGTACATTGACCGTTCAATCGATTGATCGCGTGCCGACGAGTCGCACTGCCGTATTGACAACAGTCGACTGTCGCAGCTCACTCGACGTTTGACTACTGTGGAATGTCTGTGCACAGATGGGAAGACGAAGCCGATTGAGAGCGTCAACCAGACACATCGCAACCTCATGCTCGAGTACCACTGGAAGAATCAGGTGCAGGACATGGGTGCAAAGGCGCAGGCCGTGTACTTGAAACAGCTGGGCGGCGCCTTCCCCCGTCTCGAGATGCTGGGCGACGTGCGCTGTCCGCCCATCTGCTGCAGTTTCTTCGTGCCCAAGTCCCACAAACGGAGCCGGGTGTTCGACCCCTTTGGCGAGAAGCAGCCGGCTACACTCAATGAGATGATGGACTACATGATGGCCAAGAACCGCAAGCTGAAGTTCTTCAAGCACGCCGAAACTACTCGAGGCGGTCGTCGAGTCATCAAGTCCATCAAGTGCGAGATCAACAAGGAGGTGACTGTACATTTGTCCTTTTGCCCACCGATTCCAGAAAACGGACCGAACGGAGAGACTGGCGTGGCTGCGAGCCCCATGACGCCATCGACACCAACGTCCCCAGCCTTTGCCGGGGGCCGTTTGCGCAGCGCTCGCAATAAGCAAAAGAAGCTGCAACAGCAGCTTGTGAAGAAGAAAAAAGGCGACATGCTGACAAAAGCCAAGCTCGCTGCCGAGGAGGCCACGAAGATGGAGATGGAGGAGCTTAAGCAGCGAATTACAGAGGTGCGCGAGGCCAGCAAAGAGCAGGAGCAAGCCCGCGCTGCGGGCCTGCAGACCACAAAGTACATCCAGCGGCTATCCATCTTTCCTTTCAACGAAGACGCTCCTCTTGGCGCGTGGTCCGAGTCATCACACAACCTCTTCCGCCTCGTCACGCTCCACGGCCGCAAAGCGTTGGACTACTTCCGCAAGCAGCACCCGGAGACATGTTTCTACCATCTTTTCACCTGGCTCAGCTTCTACGACAAAATTTATCAGACACCGTGCTCGTCGTGCAAGAAGCTTCTCGCGAAAGAGAGCGATGAGTGGGTCTATGTGCCTCCGTCTTTCCGGGACTACGCGAACGGACAAGCTTTTCACTCGAAGTGTCTACCTGTCGATTGACAAAGCTAGACACGTGAAGCCTGTAGCTCACACAGACTGGAAGCCAAGTAGTGACTTGCGTTGACTAATAAAGCCACGGATGGAGTGGACATTGTTGGCAGTGGGCATGTAATGTCAATGTTGGCAGACTACTGGAGTCTGATCGGGATCAAGCGACCAAACGCTGGACGTTTGGCACCACCCGACCGCTGTCCAGTCGGCACCTGCAGTTCGACTTTCCTTGTTGCCAAGTCGCGTGGCGTGACGACAGCAGCCGATAGCGGCGGTTGGTTGTCATTGAGTCGATTCTTGTCCACTAACCCCATGGCGTCGTAGGCTTCGACCACAAAAGCTGCATCACCGAAAGCACAAGTGTCGGTCGGTCTTCAGCACGATACGATACACGGACACGAATGGGCTGTTCGACTCACCTGCCGCTGGAAACAAAGGCACTGCGTTAGAACTTGACCTGTACAGTTTGTCGGGACTGATCAGCGCGTACGCCGTGTGCAGCAACGAGATTCGACTCGCTCGACCCGCACTTGAGGCGATGAAAGAGCTCGCAGCCTCTTGTATCTCCTTCGATCGCTGCAGCCCAAGAAAGCGTTAGCGTAAGTCGACTCGCAACAACGTCAACACGTCGGCACTCTCTCTACACAGTACCTCGAGCTTTAGTGGCAACACGGAGATCTCAATCGCTTCGGACGTGAGCAGACGGGCGCTATACGGGCGACACTGCACCTTGTCCAGCGTCTCCTCCACGATATACTTGCGGCCCAAGCGGTCGACGTAGATCCAACCGCAGTGGTCGAAGCGCGGCCGCAGCTGCAGTCGAGTGACCCACGTGTGCAACGCCGCGAGAGGCTGCAACGCCGTCAGTTTGCGCTGAAAGAGAATGAGGTCCCCCGTCTCGAGGGTCTCCATGATCGTGTCGTTCATTGAGCCCGTGACGAACTCGAGCGCTTCGCCGCCGGGAGGCGCGCGCGTCTCGTGGCGCATCCGCGTGAGCTTTGCATTAGCGCTCCAGCCGACTGCGCCCACGAGCGGGAGCAGAGCCAACGTCGTCCTGGCTGCCATTGTGGCCGTTAAGTCGCTTCGAAGAGCTCTTTGGGATTTGATGTCGCACGAAACGGACTGTGGGATACGGATGTGATAAGGCGTCAAAGTGAGTGAGTGAGTGAGTGAATAATGAGTGAGTGGACCGTCTGTCTCCAAAGTATTCTCGCAACAGCATTTGCGCGCCACACGTTACTCACATCGGTGCGTCGTCCCTTTTGCTGCCTCCTATGTACTCTCTGTCTTAGGTCTGCGCCACGCGGTCCCGACTCGGAGCGCCGTCGTCGAGGCCCGCTATCCGTTGCTTCAACCGCTGCTTCTCATGGCGGAAAAAGGCGATGTCACGCAACACGCCCGAGTTCGATGCAACATGGGCTTTTCCTGTCCGGGCCGCCACTGCAGCAGACGCCACCCCGTCCCAAGCGAGCTGCTGGGCCAGTTGGGCGATCGTTGCGACGACACCGCGAAGCTCAGCCAGCAGTTTGAGCCGGCGGTCTTCCCGGAGCGTCTGGATGCGCAGGCGGACGTATTCGTTGGCTACTGCGCGGTCACACTCGACAGGAGGAACGCCAATGTCGTCACTCGCGTCGTCGAGAGTAACAACCGCACGGCTGGAATCCCGTCGGGCGGCGGTAAAAGAGTGACGCGTCTTCTCGTCTCTCCGTTGAGGCTGTTGGCCACTTGGCGGTTGCTGCTGAGTGCGGCTTTTGCTCTGCGTAGAGCTCATCTTCATCCCTTGGACCCGACGCGCAGGTGGGGCGCGAGACGCTGACGCCACGCGCTTCCCGTCCTCTTGTGCGTCGACCGAAGCGCTGTCCTCTCTCTTCAGTGCACTTCCTGCGTCGACCCGACGGCGCTTGTCGTGCGCCCCGTCGCCCCTGGCCGTCCGACTCGGGTCCAGCAGCACCTTCAGGAACGTCGGACTAGCGCCCAAAATGTCGTAGCAGTGCAGGAAGTGGAACGACTCGAACTTGAGCTTCGGCCGACTACAGTCCGTCTCCGAGTCGGCGTCGACGTCGCCGCCCGTCAGCGACGTCCGCTGCCGCTTCTGCACAAACTGCCGCACCGCCGCCGCGTTCGCTTCGCTCCGTTGCTCTCGGAACAGCCGCACGGCCATTTCCACAGCTTTGACAGCGTCCGCGCCGTTCCTTTGCGTCTGCACACACACACACACAAACACAGACAGACAGACAGACAAACAGTAACACGACACCACATTTCGTTCAGTCGTTGTCGTCTTCAATGAGGAGCCATTGCCCCTCCCTCTCTCGCCCCCTCTCTCGCTCCCTCGCTACCAGTCAGTGAGTCAGTCGGACCTTTTGCACGAGCGACGCAAACAGAGTCAGGTCCGGCCGAATGCCCCGCGCCCATCGCGTGTGCAGAGACCGCGCACTACGCGCCGCCGCCGTCGCGTCGGCCGCCATGAGCTCCTGGTAGCGCTGCTGCACGCGCTTCCAGAGCGCGCAGTTGTCGCTCAGCACCACGGGCTCTCCGCGGTTCGCGAAGACCGCCAGCAGCGCGCGGCTCAGCCGCTCGTCGTCCGCGTGCGTCCAGCGCTCTTTGCCCCGCCGCATCTCGAGTGGGCTCGGGCGGGGCGACAGATGGCGACGGACTAGTGGGGGTGTTTCCCCCTGACGAGAAGGACCTCGTGTAGAAGATACCGCAGCGCTTGGACAGATAGAATGGACCTGCCGTGTGTGCGAGCGATCGTTACGGCGCAATTGGGACTCGTGCCCTGATTTAGCGTGGTAAGAATACTGACCACGCGTTTTTACGTGTGTTCTGATTTGTGGGTTTCTGCTGTTTCTGCTGTTTCTGCTGCTGACGAATTATTTGACTCGAAGGTGTTCATTTGCCCATTTTTTTTGATCGATCAGATACGTTCTTAAAAAGGGTTCTACAAACGCAAACTTCATGCTAATAGTGCAGGTTCAACCATCATCTACGCCACTGTCAGTGCAAGTAACCGTCCGACTCACCATCAATCTTTTCTACCGTTCTCGCTATTTCGCGTCACATCCTATTGTGGCAGCTTTTGCCACGCGTCGTTCATCGACAGTTCTTTGTCCCTCACATTGTTGCCGATGGCACATAATGGCGCCAATGCACCAAAGCTACACTCCATCAACTGTCAACACGTGCTCGACCTCGTATACCATCGAGCGCCTCCAGCTCCTGCCTCAAACGATGTTTCTGCTCGCGAAAGAAGTGGAGGTCTTGCTGCACTTCTCTCGCCAGTGTCGGGTCCAATCTGCTGCCAGCTGTCATGCCGATCGGAGCTGCCGTGTCACTCGCGATCTGACTCGCGAGGTGCGAGATGGTTTCCACGATGCCACGCAGCTCAGTGAGGAGCTTCAGACGGTAGTTGGCCTTCTGCTGTTTGCGCTGTAATTGAAGCATTGGTGAACCGATCGACGACGTTCTGCTGTTCAGTGTGTCCCTGTCGCGAGGCATGTCGTTCCGTCGTGCACTGAACGACGCAGCAGTCGGCGCCGGCACTGCATGTATGGTTGCTGTACCATTGGCCGTCAATGTCTCTTCATCGCTGGAATCGCCATGAAGCACTGTCAAAGGAGACGAGTCAGAAGCCAAACTTGTAGCTTGCTCAGGCAATGCGTCGCTACTCTTCCAGCGCTTCACCGAAGGCTCATGTTTTGCAGAAGACCTATCGTGCTGCTTCGAGCTATCATCGAAAGCCGCTGATGCTTCCACAGCGACCTCAGCACGAGAAGTAGACTTCGAGCGACGTTGTCGTTCATGAGCGGGCGCGTGTCTCATTTGCAGTGTCTTTTCCAGCATGACAGCGTGCATGAAGCGTTTGCTCGTTCTCAATATCGAGATGCAATGGACGTAGCGGAATTTCGTCGATTTGACACGAGGCTTGCACGACGCGTCCGCGTTTTGCAGCGCCGCTTGGTGCTTGGCCTCATCATATGTACGCATCGCCTCAGCCTCTTCGGCCTTTCGAATGGTCTCAAAGCGTTTCAACGTTTCCTGAATGTACTCTTCTTCGCTCCACGCCTCGTGCTCCTCTGTTTCCACCTGTTTCGCACAACAACCAGCACATCTGTCGTGGGCACTTGTTTTCTGTCGCAGCTAAAGGTGCAATCGGACCCACTCGCGCTCTGCTCCGCACTCACCGTCAAAAGAAGCGACATGAAGAAAAAGCTATCAGGCCGAATGAAGGACGACCAATGGGTCTGTAGAGCGCCTCCAGCCCGCGGAATAGCCGCCGGATTCTCGGCCGCAGCCAGCGCCGAGTAGTGCGTTTGCACGCGAGTCCACATGTTTTTCACGTGCTCTGTGTCCTCGCCGCCCTGTGTGGCGAGCACGAAGGAGCGGCACAAGCGGACGTCGTCGCTTTCGGACCATGCAGTCTTCGTTCTCCGGCGGTTCAATGTCGGCGACGACATTGTTTTCTGGTTATGGCTCGTATGATATCGTTCGATTATGGGTAATTCGCGCGTGTGCATGTGGCAATGGAATCTTCGACTGTCTTGAGCACTTGCAAAAAAACAGACCCTTTTGGCGGAATTTAGAGAAGAAAACCTCGAGCGCACCACACTCGTCTCGTGCACAACACTTCGAATCTGTAGCGCGTCTGGAGACGAAAATAGTCACGGGCGCAATTTTCAGGAAAAAAGCTGAGCACAAATGATTACTGTCTGCGCAAACCAGAGAATGTAAATATCTGTGCTAAACTTTGATGATGGGCGAGTGCATTTATTGCAGGATGCATCTCATGTGTAACCTGTCAGCAACTCGAGCACAATTCTAACACAGACCACGTCACGACGAGCTCTGAATTTGGCGTTACTTTGGAAAGCCTTATATCGGGCTGCAGATATTACTACAAGGACCCCAGTCGTTCGACACTGTATTGACAAAAAGCACATTACATTGAGACATCAACATGCTTTATCACGCAAAAAAGTCCATCGGATAGACGAAATGGATGCATTTGGCTCGACAGTCTTGTTTTAGCTAACGAGGTGGGATGCCCGGGCGCAAGGCGAAGTGCAGATGAAAGTCGCTCATCTCAATTACCTGTTATACGTACCATTCCACTTCCAGTTTCGCATTGCTAAACGCACCGCCCTGACAGCAACTTTTCAGCTACCATCTAGTTGATATCATGGTTCATGATAATCAATGAGTAGAGCGGTGCTGCATTTAATTTCAAGCGTAATATTCCCTCAACATTTGCTCGTCAGGTAAGTGTTGGTGAATTTTATCAATAAGATACTGTTTGTATTTGAGCCAATCTAGTGTCAATTACAGGAATCGGGCTTGCCATGTTACACGCATGGTCTACAACTTGTGATCTATCACAGTTAGTTGCACTGGCTTATGTGGTCGCCTGCCACCGTTTTATGCGTGGTCTCGGGAATGAACTTAAAGCCATGATACGTCCTTGACATTGCAAATTAGTCCCAGACGAGCTAGCTAGAATATCCATTGCGACGTACAGAGCACAGACGGATGGCAACAGACTCACACCGAAGACAGTCCTGTACATGGTGGACATGAAATCATTCCACTATTAGGTACAGGCGCCGCGCTAACGCAGGCTACGAAGAAGATTACACGAGACGCAAGGAGCTTCGCTCATCGTCATTGCCGAACAAATTGGCGATACTATATACACTAATCGGGAAGTGCCACCCCGAGCCCGACATATTCGTCGCGGCGCCAATGGGACAAAAACAAAGTGGCGATCGACTGCGAGCACACTCAGGCTTTCTGCAAAGAGCCAAGATTTACTATAGGTGTGGCCAGCGATGAAGGATGAGCCGTGGCTTGATGATATGAGCGGATCATGTAGTGCATGTGTACGTACGGGCTGCGCCGCGTGAGAAAAACTAGCGGTTTTTGATCAAGACCTGAAGCAATGGCGCCAGAATACACGCCACAACCTATAAGCGCCTGACTTACCGCGTCTTGACAAGACGTAGAAGCCCCACAGATGACGGCGACAGGCGTGATCTTGATGACCCACATTAGAGAAAGAAGAGAATGGTGCGCAGCTGCAACAGTACCAGGTAACGAGAACCGACACAACGGCTATTCACCATTTGTCCATTAGGACAAGTCAGCTTCAGTGCAATAGCGCATGTCATAGCATACTTAGTCGTCTTTAAGACGAAAAATCGGACCAACGACGAAGGCCACGTTGCTCCCAAGACCATGGAGACCACCGATCCCATCGCAACAACCGTCAACGTCTGCAATCCGACAACCGACACTTTGCCGACAAAGACAAAGGCCTCAGCAGCCACAGCCACTGAGTAGAAGACGTAAGGCACCACGAGCGCGTTGGCAGCTCGGGGGAACAAGTCGCTCGGCGGCGAGATCGACTGCACCGCCATGGGTGACATGCCGACATGAGTGAACACGATGCCCAGTGCGATGTCAATCATAGCATAGTTGCCATGTACCTGGCCAGTAGCTGTCGATTACCCCCATTTGCTCAAGAGCCTTCAATTGAATCCGGACGCTGTTCCACCGGACAGTCAGCACTGAAGATGAAAGCATGCAGAATGCTCCACATTATCGTAGTAAGTGGGTGTGGACAAGGACTTGACGCCGTCAAATTCACAACAGCTGCTACAGGGATTATTCGAATGCTAAAGAATGGTGCTAAAGCAGGTCTGAAGGCTATCGCCACCTCGTGTGCAGATTCTCAGGAAGCTCGAAGTCATGATAGACAAAGGACGACGTCCAATCGTGAAGTCGGCGCGAAGATAAGCGGTCGTGGGTGGCTGGGGCGCTTGAAGCGAAACATGCTATAAGGCAAGAAGCATCGTGAGCAACACCAACTTGTGACCCCGCGAACGCTGCCGGCCGTCATTGCATTCGTTCGATTGGTCATCGTAGCCTGCATGCAAATCTGCTGCTGCTCTCAATCTGACTACCGATAAGCTGATGGATGTCAATTGACGATGAAGTCCATTGGGGGGGGGGCATGCAGCGGCGTGAACTGCCGGCAAATGTCGACTCTCGAGACGCGAGCGCATGCAGTTCACGTCGCTGCGCGATCGCTCCTTTCTCCGATATTAGAACGTCGGTGTCGGCTAGAAGGAGCTCGTCCGAGTCGCGAAACCGAATAGGGATCAGTGCGCATAAAGACACGCCATTAGTCGAGAGGGAGAGAGTCGGTGTGTGCTGAGCGTCTCGTGTGCGTCGATCTAGTCACACGACATTGACACTGTGCTGATGATGCAGAAAGACGATATTGGTCAGAGCTCTCCTTTTCTGTGCTTTTGCCGACAACAGCCGGACTCAACGCTGCCGTCAGAACTCTTCGTCGATTCGACAATGGCTGCTCGATTGCCTTCACCACTGTCTATAAGCCACATACTAAGCAAATGACCTAGAACTACTGCTAGCTCGTACATGCTTTTGCGGATAGCAAGTGCGTACCGAGACCTGACCTGACCTCGGCTCGTGACTGCGTGGCTTGCGATGAGACGGTGAGTCTTCATCCCGGGCCAGTAAGACGCCATGGCTTCAATTGTAACTGAGTGTACAGTGTCTCTTGTGCAACTCGGGCTAAAGCAGAACAGTATAGCTAACTGATCTTGTCGGTCAAGAACGTGCTATACCAAATGGCCCACTCCGTGGCGTGGAAGCTGTAGCTGCGGAAGTTGCGGTCCATGCATTAGTCCTGCGTCAAAGAGATGAAGTCCGGCCAATATGAGAGCTGGCACTACCAAAGGCTTCACAGGGCCTTTGACGCAGTGGGTGCAGTACTTCCTACCTGCTGCCGAAAGATCCATGCGAGCAGTATGTGGAATACAGACGGTAGTGCTGCCATTGTAAACAATCGGTTATGTGTCGATGAATGTGCGAGTGCAAGTTTACGCCTCTGCGCTTGGCTTCTGACACTACGTGAGTCGTTGCCAATTGTACTGCAAGTCTCCATTCGTGTTCGTCCACGTCAACGCCTGTCTGTCAACTACAATGGAGACAATGATGTTACTGCACTGTGTACCTCGACGGACGATGCACTTGGTCGCACTTGACTAACGCATACACCGCTTGCATCGACATGGCTACATAGTTGTTTACAAATTGTTTTGGGTGTATCCACATGGCTACACACTCGATCGTCTCGGCGGTCGTTGCCACACGCTGTTTTCATTGGTCCGTGTCTTTTTTAGCGTTCCTTCGGTCTCGCCGCAGCTGAGCAAAGATGGCAAAGTCGACGTTGAACCCGATGGAGACGTATCGCCGCGAGCAGAAGAAGAAGGAGGTGAAGAAACACCGAGCAGAGCGGCAGAAGGAGAAGAAGGAGAAGCTGAAGTCTATGGACTCAGTGGCGCTCAAGGAGCAGCTCAAGCTACTGGAGCGCCAAATGGCTGTCAATACCTCGACGGACGGTCCTAGTCGCAAGCGCAAGCAGGAGCTGGAGGACACGCTACGAGCGGTCGCAAAGAGGCAGAAAGAGGTAAAGATATGGATACATGTAGTGCGTGTAGCAGTCAGTCGTTGATGTTAGTGGGTTGTTCTTGTTGCTTGTAGATGGAAGAAGAGAAAAACGAGCACAGGGAGAAGTTGACAGGCGCGTCAATTCGACCGGCAATGGTGGGTGGCGAATTATTGCGAGGAGGTTTGGGGAAGAGACACATGAGCGCTGACTGCTACTGCTGCCCAGAGTATGACGGAGTTGATGCAGAGGAACAGGGAAAAGTTTGAGAACCCAGAGGTGAGAAGCGCAAGTCGATGAAGGGCAATGAATGATTCTAACGCGGACAATGCTGACGATGCTGCAGAATTCGATTTACTACCACCCGACACTGAATCCGTTCGGAGCGCCGCCACCAGGAAAGCCGCAAATGTACCGCCATGCGCCGCAACCTGTCTGTCCAATGGCTTTATCTGGAAACAATGGTCACGGGCGATATGGACAGGACCGGCACCCAGAACGTCCGCAGCAGCGGAAATTCCTCGACGGACCACCGGTACCAAAGATCGAGAGACGCTTTCAACGACCGCCACCAGCTAAGATGCAACACCCGCGCGCTTCGGCGATACGGCCTGGGAAGCGGCCGCCGCTGCCGCTTGATCCCCCACCGCCAGGGACGATTCAGGTGCCCTGTCGACCGCCACTACCGAGTGGGGCGATTCCAGTTCGGCCGCCTCCTCCGCCACCTGCACTCACGCAGTCTACAGCAACGATATCGATGCCTCCTGCAATGTTGCTGCGACAGCCAGGTCAAGAGATGTTGTCATCCTTGGTACCTTCAGCGTCAACTGCAGCTGTCGATGACGATCAGCAGGAAGCAGCTGCAGCTGTCGATGACGATCAGCAGGAAGCAGCTGACGAAGACAAAGTTATGGCTCTATATCCAGCGACAGACGAGCACGACACGAGAGACGAGCGAGTGGTGGACGAAGATGCAGCTGAGAGACGCGCCCAAGTCTGCTCGCTGGTTCCAGTGGCTCTTCGGGTGCATCGGCAGGTACCGCCAGTCACTCCAAGCAGCACTGCGATCGTTGGCAGAGCTCCGTCCATCTCTGCTCGATGTCGTACCGTACCTGCACCTTGCACTTCCGTGCTTCAGCCAGCTTTGTCGAAAACGGGCATCGCGCCTTCACTACCAAGACGTACGACGACGACCACGGCCACCGCAAACGTCTCCATGTCAAAAGAGTATGATAGCTTTATCGAGGACATGAAGGAGCTGCTCTAAGCCATGATGTAGGACAGTCATCGAGCAGAGCTAAACGATAAAATAGCTAAAATCAGTCCATTTACTTTATTATAACGCGCTTTATTACCTATCATACCTCAGGCTTCCCACCACGACCATCACGACCGAGCTCCACAACCCCGAACACAATGGCGATGAGAAGCTACGGGTGCTTGCTTCGAACGCCTGGCGCCTAATATGCTAAAAGAAAGTGTTTGCTGACAGGCCATGAATGTGCCGAGGTGTAAGTGCCAGAACTGTTGCAGGTAAGTTCCGGCCTCACCTGATAAGCTAAAAAGTGACAATTGGACAGTTGAGGCGATCGTTACGGTCGTCATGTCGAGTCAGTAAGGTGTCGTGGCATGCGAGACGAGGAGATAGGGACGCCACAAGTAACCAGCATATGGCGATGGGCGATTTCGACGTACGCCGTAACGAAGCGAGCCTGTAATATACCATTCGTGCGATTCGTGTCAATGTAAACACATTATCTTATTTGGTCATTTCGATTCAATATATTCCTTGCGAGCCCATTTTGAACAAATATTACATCAAGAGGAAATCTATTCGGCGCCGCTGCACAATTAGTCAACATATGTAACGGGGCAGACCCTTGCGTGAACTTAACGCAAGGGTTTCGGGTGCCCCGACAGACGTACACGAGGCGAACGAGGAAGCGTAGGGTAAGGAAAAAGTAAAACCTGTTATATTAATATAATTAAGTCTTTTAACTACTGTCTCTCTGTTTGACTTAACTTATTTATGCTAATATAACTGAGTGTATGGTGACGTCTCGTCACCACTCATTGCGCGCGTCTTGCGGCGATTGGTGGGTTGATATCATCAAGACATCAACCAATGAACAGACTCTTTGGTCGACCCTTCAATATCACCAAGTGGTGATATTGTTATAGAATATTCAACGTAATATTCTTTATTGTCACTTTCCTTAAAGTGACAATTCCATGTAACGGTTGCCCCGTTTCATCACCCCCCTCAACTGATAGTCACCGTGTGACTATCGAAAATATGGCGGCCACCCGTTGGACACCACTGGGACAGGGAGCACTTGTTGCGTCCGTTCCATTCACTTTCCGCTTGACCTCGCATAGTTAACATGTCTATGCGAGGTGACTCAAGACCTACACAGCCCGGTGCTGTGCCAGCCTCTGTGGCAGACGATTCGTCGTCTGCTGCTCCTTCTTCGCCTGCAGCAACAGGTGCTGCAGGTGCACGCGGCACCTCACCGCGTGCGCATGATGACCCTGACGTTGAAGTCATCTATTCTGGCGAGTCAGACGTGTCTGACTCGGGCAATGCTCCAGAGGCCTCTCGCTCACCGGCGACGCCTCAGTATTCGCCAAGGCCACTGCCGAACGAACGGACTCGTGAGTTGCATCACAGTCTGTTCGGCAGTGATGACGATGATCAGGGTGGTGAGGAATATTATTCCTTACCACCGCCGGCTGTGCGTCTTCGCACGAGCGTGATGACGATGGCGTGAGCCGTCGTCAATCTGGGATCCGTAGTACCAACAAAGGTACCATCGTGAAGCGTGATGAGCTGAAGCCGTGGCGTTTGCCCGAACGGCTCATCAATAGCTTGTCTCACGAAACAAGTCAACACCATCGAATACCCTTATTCGATGCGACTGAGCTACACGGCTTGAGTCCCAGCGCGAGCAACTTTTGCGCTGAGGAAGACTTTTATCTCGATGTCTTCCATAGACATCGATGGTACAACAGCAACCAAAAGCGTGACAAAGCCTCGCTTTTGGCTGCGTGGAACGCGTTCGTCCAAAACGTAAGGAATTTTGGACGAGAAAGGTAGCTCAAGAAACTTGAGGCGACACGCCTCAGGTTCGAAAAGCGAACGCCAACCGGTGCCAGGTACCGGTTGCACTGTTTGTCGAGTGAGGCAGGCATTCCTTGCCTCACATGGGGAGACACTTGTGCGAGTTGTGTTGACAACTCGTAGCGTGCACATAGGGACGTGTATTCCCTAAGTTCGCCCTGGGGAAGGGCACACATCTCGGAGGAGATGCGTGACGCGATTGCAAACTTGCAATCCGTCTACAAGCGCCAAAAGCGCGTGTTTACCGATGGGCCCGATGAATCATCGGATGGGTCTCGTCATACTGGCGGACGAGACCTTCAACTTCCATCAACAGCTGAGAGCGGGGCTCCCAGCTGTTCCAAGAGGGTGGATACCCCCGCCACTGGACGAGGTAGCTCGTCCTTGATCCTGAACCGTCACGGTGATTCAAGATACGCTCCACTAGGAAGCGTTGATAACCGTGAGCATCCACCAAAGGATGTGGTGGAGGAGGAAAGACCTCCTCCAGCTGATTCGGCTCAACATCTCGACCCTTACGAGATGTATCGCGCAACCGATGAATTGTGCGATGACTTGAAGCACGAGCGCGACCGGCGCTGCGCTTTGACTGATACCGTGCGGAAGAACCGCAAGGATCACGAGGCTGATCGGGCGAGGGATCGCGCCGATTATGCCACAGCGCAGCTTCAGGTCGAGCGGGATGTCCACTCCCTATTCGGAGAGCTGGCGACAGCTCGCGGGGAGATATCTCGGTTAAGTTCCGAGGTATCATATCTGCGCGACCAGACGGATCGTCTAGAGCGCGAACGCAAGAACTTGATGGATGTTCTTGAACGTGGGGCTATCTTCATCGGAAGAAGAAGGCTCGTACTGACAGTACGACCTGAGCCTCCACACGTAAAACGTAGGATGCATGCGCATATTACGTGGCAATTCGATCGTGTATGCATTGCCCTTGCGATGCAACACTCGAAATGGCCCAATGTACTTCGGCAGTAGTTTACTACTGCCGACACTAGTGACTGCGTGTCCAGGTATGTTTACCGTAGACAGTAGTACTAGGTCGTTAACTTTAAATGAAAGAACATTTGCTCGTCCATTCTTGTCTGCGTTCCGTTTCTGAAGGTCCACCGCGTTTGCGATGGAGTCCTGAACGAAACGAACTATCGCTTCTCGAGTCAGCAGGAAGTTCTCTGATGACTATTTGTTTTGTCTTTCAGTGCGATTCATGCGCACTGCTAAGAGGTTGCTCTCTTCTTCAGCGATGCTGTCTTCTTCCTCGCTGGCATAATCGTTGACGATGCCGAATATACCAGCATCGTCATCATCATCCGAGTCAATAATATCGTCGCCGCTATTATTGAGGTGATCTTCTTCATCGATGTCGACCTGATCTACATCGGCATCATACGTGACGACGTTAGCGTCGACACGTGATGAGCAAGAGCCAAAACGGTTTTTGCTCGAGCGAGTCCCTCCCCCCTTATCCAAGAGTCACACTCTAGAACGGCGGGAATGGCGTAGACCATTCACGTAAAACGGTGTGTGCTGTGTGGAAGCATGCACCGAATTATTGATGGCGAATTCCACCATGGGTAGGAATTCGCTCCAACTCGGAAACGAGTGGACATATCCTCGAAGGATCTCTTCGAGGACACGGTTCGCACTTTCCGTCTGACCATCTGTTTCGGGATGGTCAGAAGTAGACATCTTCAATCGTGTTCCCAATGTGCGGAACACGGTTTGCCAAAATGCCGCCGTGAACCGAGGGTTACGGTCGGATACGAGTTCACGGGGTAACCCGTGGAGTCTAAAGACCGTGTCTAGAAAGACATAAGCACAACCTTGAGCCTTGATCGACTCAGGGACAGCAGCAAGATGCACCATCTTGCTGAATCGGTCAACAAACACAAGAATACCATTATTCTTGTGAGAATCTTCGGGAAAACCGAAGACGAAGTCCATTGATCGACTCAGGGACAGCAGAAAGATGCACCATCTTGCTGAATCGGTCAACAAACACAAGAATACCATTATTCTTGTGAGCATCTTCGGGAAAACCGAAGACGAAGTCCATTGATCGACTCAGGGACAGCTGCAAGATGCACCATCTTGCTGAATCGGTCAACAAACACAAGAATACCATTTTTCTTGTGAGCGTCTTCGGGAAACCCGAAGACGAAGTCCGTTGAAACGGACTGCCAGCACTCTGTCGGAACAGGCAGATGCTGCAATGGCGCACGGGATGAAGGACTAGGCTTCACACGTTGACAAAACTTGCAAGCACGTATATACTTGCGGACAAAGTGATACTGGCGTGGCCAGTAAAAGTCACGAATTACCGTGAGGTAAGTCTTTTCTCTACCACGATGGCCGCTTGTTGGGGCATCGTGACACTCATAAATGATGCGTAAACGCAGATCATGATGAGCGGGTACGACGAAACGAGGCGTGTCGTCGGCAACAGCTGTATAGTACAGCAATCCGTTGCGTGTACTGTACCGATCCGATGAGGATCGGTACAAAGCTGGTAAATCCCTCATGGATTTAATGGATGGATTCACTAGATGATCCATCAATCGCAGAAGATCCTTATCTTCCGCGTATGCCTTTCGTACGTCGTCAAGTAAACTTGACGACGGGACACTGACTGACAGTGTAGCAACAGTGGGCTTATCCTCACTGTTGATTTGTGCGTCCGGCTCGAAATCGGGCCGGGGCGAAAGCGCATCAGCGACGACATTGAGTCGTCCTGGTTTATACTCCACGGAGAGGTTATACTCCGCGAATAAAGACATCCACCTCGCCATCCTTTGCGAGAGGTGTGGGCTGTTTACGGCCGTGCGTAATGACGCATGGTCCGTATAGACGATGAACGGTCTATCTCCCAATAGATAGACGCGAAACTTAGCCAGTGCATATTTCATGGCAAGTAGTTCCTTGTCATGCACTGGGTAATTACGCTCAGCTGCTTGCAGCTGACGCGACTGATAACAGATGACGCGCTCCGCGCCATCTGCATCGAACTGCATTAACGCACAGCCGATTGCAAAATAGCTGGCGTCACAGACCACATGAAATGGTCTGTCCTGATCTACAATCGCCAAAATCAGCGATTGCATCAAGCTTTGCTTGATAACCTCAAAGAAACGCTGGCACTCAGC